TTATTCGAGAAAAACTTCATATATATGTAGTGCCGCCATTTAGACTTTCTTTTTACCCCTGTGACGTCATCTTTGACCTGACCTGAAAATGATCTGAGTAAAAATTGTAGACCTTATCCATGTGTACCCTCTGCCGTTTACCGCTTGCCGCTATCTTGCTTTGTTCTCGAGATCTCGCTGTCGCTCCCGCTCGTAATAATGGGAAGGTCATAAAAATGACCTGACCTGAGGTCAACGCAGGCCGAAAGCCACTTTTTTCACTTTGTTCTCGAGATCTCGCTGTCGCTCCCGCTCGTAATAATGGGAAGGTCATAAAAATGACCTGACCTGAGGTCAACGCAGGCCGAAAGCCACTTTTTTTATTATCGCATATGAATGAAAATTAATAAGGCTTTAATCGTCATCAGACAAAATTGCGACTTTCAGTTGGGAAAATATCAAGGTCACTCTTCGAAAAAGGTCAAGATGTCACGTGTTCAAAATTTTCAAAAATCGAAAATCCGAGATAGCCAAAACGTTTGTTGGTTGATTGCAAGTTGAACCATATCAAGTTTTTACCATAGAAAACCAATAGTTTCTGAGTTATAAGCCGCCAAACATAGGGTTGCAGCGTGACCTCCAGGAATTGCCCGAGGCTATATCTCGGAAACTGTTGTTCGAAGAAAAAAATCCTTGCCACAGCTGGGTTCCCCGCCCATCACAACCCATTAGACCAATTTTAAGCAAAAATAAAATATGCGGGTGTAAATTTTATTTATTTTTGGTCGATCTATCGTGGAATGCCCCAGTCCCCGCCTCCGGACTGACCTCGCACCGCCATGTTTCTGCGCCGCCACGACCCTATTATCATTACCCAATCGCTTAGCGCGGCTTTCGGCGACGATCCAGGGATTTATCTTTATGAACCGGCGCTACTTTGTTATGGAGGCATAATGGCTTCATATGCGGGCTCCCGCGGCGCTGCCGGCTTTACCGCAGAAATAATATGAATAAACGAGGCGTCCTGAAAGATTCATAATTGCCTAACTTGCTCCATATGCCAAGCCGGTGCCTGAATGTTTCCCTTAATGACACAATGAATATAGATGCTCCCCGGCGCGGAATGGCGAGAGTCCCAGACGATAAAGTTTGCCACTATAAGACGGCAGGCCCGATAAAGGCGCGAGGGATTGCCGCCGGCGCCGGTCTATTGTGGCGCGCTTTTCTCGCCGGGGGCGTTATTAATAAAGTTGCCCGTTTATCCGGCTCGGTGGTTAATTGACGCATTGTCAGATCTGCTGGATGATTAAGCATCTGCGGGATTTAGATGCCAACCAAAAAATACATGCTGAGCTGAAAGAATAAGCAAACAGTCCGTGCCCGTTGCCCCCATGTAATACGTGCATGTCGTGCAATGTGCATGCTACCCCAATGTAGGTAATACCTAATGCTCGCATGATAATACCTGATGCAGTGCATCCCATGGAATAATACGTCCAGTGTGCAGACGCCAGTTCGCCTAAAACGATGTAGGTACTTAGAATAAGAAAACAGCTGAAAGTTAACACGCTCAAAAGTCAAAGATATTACAGGCATGAACTTAATTGTAGGATCACTATCTCCGAACTTTTGATACATGCTATTAAAATTTAAACTGTACCTACAATTACCTGTAAACTGTATAAACTAAACTGTATAATACCTATAACAGTTATCCGTCAATTGACGAGTCGTTGCCATCGCATTGCAAGGCAAATATTTCATAAAAATGTCCACATGTTTTGTCAAATCCCTCCAACGAGACGAGCGAAACATACCTATTGATAACACCGATTCAAACTTTTTTACGATAAAAATATAATTACGACTCTGATAACATAAAACCAAAACTAACTTAGTTTGTTTTAATCGGGAGCAATTAAGATAAATGAAGCTGGTGTTTCAACGAAGCCGTTCCAGCTAAACACTAACGTTTGTAAGTACTTACATATGAAGTTATAGATGGTATTGGTATTGGTAGGGATGGGTAGGGGAAGACAGGGGAACACCGACCCCCTTAACCTTTTAGGGTCTAACTAGTCACGTTATTTATGGCAACATGGTCTCTCAGTTTCATTGGATTGTCGCATTAATTTTACATACATATCAGCCAATTGTTGTCTTGTTTCGTTCATAATTGCTGATAATTCTGCACTGGCCATTGCAGGGCCTCGTCTAACATGTTAACTGGGGGGGGGGGGGGGCAAACCCCCGCAGTCACCGGCCTGCCCCTCCCCCAGTCAGGGTAAAAATGTCACTGCTGGGGGGGGGGCAGCAAAAGCGAAAAGGCAAACGAATTTTTACTGCAAGGCGTCAGTGCACATAAAAACAAATGCGTTAAAGAAACATGGATGCAATGGGAGCACATTGATATACCCGATTACCCGATTACCCGATTACAGCAATACGCTACATTTCGGGTTTTCAGGCGACCTAATTCCGTGTCCCGCATACTCTCTTTCACGTATTCTCCTGTTGTTTCTGTCCTCGGGGCGTCATTCTGTTGTCTCTACCTATCGTCCTCACTACGCGACGTCGAACTTCTTTTTTTTTTTAATTTAGTCCGAACCTTTTTTATAGGAATGATTCATAAGGCAGAGCCACCGTTAAGCGAAGCTTGTTACGGTGACCACTGACCCTGCCCTCTAGGCTCTAACCTCCGGTCGCACAATTCCAGTACTATGGCAGAATTTAGGTAGTATCCAAAGTTTAACGTGCGCACATAACCGCGCACGGCCGGTCCCCTCACTGACTTCGCCTGGCTACGGCCTGCCACCAATCGCAACCATACCTGTCAGGAGGCCCAGTAAATGTTAAGCACCCGTCGCGCTGCGATCCCGGACTGTAATAACCGGGAACGCGTGTTCTTACCACGCGGAGTCCAACGCTCTACCAACTGAGCTACGGGACCGGCAAACTCCTGGCTGGACGGTCACCGGTGTACGGCAAGAGTAGCTCCTAATCGTAATGAAGCAGGCTCCCATTCTGGGTGATCGTAAGCTCAGCCTGGTGGTCTGTCTCTGTGGACGGGAAAGACTAGTGTGGGCTACCAGAGGCCGACGTGGGTCCAGCTCCAGAGGCTGGCATTGGCCATCAGAGCTCGGCACCTGACGCTCAGAAGCCGGCGGGGCCCATTAGAAACCGATGTGGTTCGCAAAAAAAAAATATGCGTTCGTAATAAATTGCTAAGATAAGGTCAATGTTCAGGTCATTCGAGGGCATAAATTGTCCGTTTCGCTCGATTATTCTCAGATAATATTTGGTTACAACGTTTTAACTCTACCTTGCAGAACAGAGCAGCATAAGCGCATACATATACCTAAATAAGTGATGGCTCCCTTATAGCCATAACGGGAGCAAGATTCTTAGATAAACGGAAATAGGTCGCCAAATGTGCCACATTGGAACTCCGACGAACAGTAAAGCATTCATGAGAGGCTGAAATCGTAAACAAATGACCGACTTAAAAAAGGTGTAGCGGGTCCAAAACTAAGGTTTCATTCTTTGTGTGCTTATTAGGTACTGTCTGGTGGGGCAATGTGAGGTGAGGGGGTTATAAACTAATGGCAAAGGCATGGGTCGGATGGTCTATCATTTTTATTTATACCTTACCGGTGTTAAAAAAGTTCACCAGGTTTCAGGGCTGTGATGAAAAATAAGTTGCCTAAATCCGGTGAGAAAACAGGATTTGGGGGTAGGTACCCTAGGTTTGGCTCCTTGTGTCTCTGCCCCCCCCCCCATTGAAAATTTCTTAGACGAGGCCCTGGGTCATTGCCACAACACACATCCAACGGTGGCCAACGGAAGACCAGACTATATCGTCGGTCGTCACTCGTGTTTATTGTCAGTCAGTTAAAGGGACCCTCCCACCTTCAAAAAAGTTAATGAATTGGCACGAAAGTGATGTCGCTCGGTTCAGAAAGAGCGAAAACGAATATCTACCAAATTTCATCGAAAAATATTCACCGGTTTTCAAGATATTAGACTTTTACTTTTGTTTACTTTTTGGGATCTCCGCTGTTCCTAGCGACTTTATTTGAAAGTGCGGCATTTGTTGCGCGCAAAGCAGCATATACCACCGCGTGCTACCAAACGTTTTAGTAAAAGATTTAAAAATCGTTAGATCTCCGCTGACGTCACAAATTCTAAGGGGGCATACCAATGCACTAGCCCCTTAGAATCCGAAAACTGCAAGTTTGAAATTCCATATCTCCGAATTAAAGCATTTGTTGATGTTGTGAGTGCCCAAACCGGTATTTGCAGGCCATGGCCACCAATTTGGCTATCTCAACTCAAAACTAATGTTAAGGTGGGAGTGTCCCTTTAACAGGCCTCAGAACTATAGGACTGTCCGATCCGTGCTCCTGACCCGAAATCTGATCCAAGTTTTTGTACCTAGTTTTGAGTTCCACTTCTTATCGACCCTGTTAGTTGCCTGCTAGCAAGGCCGTTTTAGTGCCCTGGGCCGTATAAGAGATACCATACTAGATACCTACGAGAGCCTGCTAGTAGGTATCTACTATCTAAGCTAATCTTGGTCACCTCAAATATCGATCGCACCACAAGGTGTCTCTTTTAGAAGAATAAAATGGTTAATGGTTTCACATGATCACCTACTGCTTAGCAGTTAGCTCCCCTACATTGATATCCAGCGCAACCAGTCTAACTTTCTGTTTGAGCGTGATTCACTTTGTGCTACGAGATAAGAATGCATATAAATATATATTATTATTTTGAGGCCGTGACTCCCAACTGCCTTGGCAGTACTTTTGGTTCTTTTTTTTCTGGAAATGCGAAATGCTGTTCAGAAACGTTAGTTTGAAAAATGGCGCAACTGCGCCAAACCTTGATTGCTAAGCAACTTGCTGTCAACTAGGCATTCATATAGTCGATTGGTCGAGAATGATTCTTATAATGTAGGTGTCAAGGTAGGGACGAATACCAACAGCCTGTAGGTGGTTTTCGAAGCCGCGGCGATTATATTGCTTCCCTGTGTATTTATTATCGTTTCTTCGTAGATGACAGCCTTGCCTCATGGATTTACCGGGTCTTTCCCTTATTTGTTTTCTTTGAGAGTTGTCGTGCATGAGCCTATCTTAGCCCAAGGCTATACAAACGTTTTAGCATTATCATACCTATCCCATCTTGATCTTCGATTTTGAAAGAAGTGGCTGAAACTGGTTGCTAGTTTTTTTTAGCTGTTTCTTGCTGTAAGTAACATTTTAATTTCAGCTTGACACTTTTATTTCTGTGAAGCATCACCAGACACCAAGTCATGCATTTTTTGTGGTTTGGGTTTAAGGACGCTGTTGTTGAAGAGTTAGGGCGCGCAGCAGCTTGGCTCAAGCGTCCAACATTTAAGGACGCCTCGTTGATGAATGCCTTTTGGCGTTTGAGTTTTTTTTTTGTGTGCAGCATGCTGTTGCAATTGGTTATAATTCAACAATGTACCAGAGGTTGAAAAGTTAATGATGGAACCAAGTCATTTGTTGTTTTCGTTTCCGCAACAATAAACAACAAGTAGGTAGCCGAAAAATGTACATTAAATTAAGATATCTAGTCGTAATAGCTTGAAGTTATACATCATGATTTACTCTCAGCAAATGCCCATGTATTGTTTTTGCAGGATATAGCCATTGTGTGCAACATGTCAGGCACAATGGAAGGGGAGAGGAACTTCTTTGCCAAAGCAACCCAGCACCTGGCTCGTGCACTGGCTGCTCAGAAGGACGCCAAAATTGAGAAGGTAAGCCTCATAACTTTTGATACCAAATACATATATTTAGTTGCTATGATTTTTCCTGTCAGGTGATGACTTTCATGATAGTTAAGTACCATTAATGGTTATTGGTTGGCTATATTATTATGTATTTGATGTATTTATTATTAGACTACCCTTTCCCCTCCCAGGTGTCACCTAGGACCACCTCTTCAGTTCTTCTTTAGTTCGTCCTTCTTAGGTGCTGCCACGCCACTGGCCTCCGCCCACTATCCCACACAGGTGCAGCTGCTGATCAATCAGCCTGCTGCCAGTAGTCTGCTGACCTCCTACGACCTCCCCACCTCCTTCCTTAGGTGCATCCGCTGATTAGCCTGCTGCCTGAGGACTGAGGTATCCCCGACCGACCCCCCCCCCCCCCCGGTCCAGCCGCTGATCAGACTGCTGCTGGTGGTGCCCCTGACCTCCTATGACCCCACCCCCTCAGATCCAACCACTGATCAGCCTGCTGCCGGTGGTGGCCCTGACCTATGACCTCCCCCCCCCCCACACACACACCTCAGGTACAGCTGCCGATCAGCCTGCTGCCGGTGGTGCCCCTGACCTCCCCCCCCTCACCTCAGGTCCAGCCGCTGATCAGCCTGCTGCTGGTGGTGCCCCTGACCTCCCCCCCCCCACACACACACCTCAGGTACAGCTGCCGATCAGCCTGCTGCCGGTGGTGCCCCTGACCTCCCCCCCCACACACACACCTCAGGTCCAGCCGCTGATCAGCCTACTACCAGTGGTGCCGGCCGAGGGACCGTTCTCGGTGAACCGCCGCGGCCAGGAGGCCGTCTGGGCGCTGGCCGTGTTCCTGCTCGAGTCGGGACTGCAGCACCTCGATGCGATCCTGCCGCGGCTGCTGCGGCTGCTCGCCGCCCTGCCCAGGGCCGCACACTTCGAGGATTTTCGCGTCAACCTGTCTGATCGTAAGTGCTCAGGCTAGATTTTGACTGACTCTCCTAGTTCAACTTGTATTTGCAGTACATATTGAAAACTACGAACGCGTCTTTTTTATGAGCAATTTTTTTTTGTCGAGACTGACTGAACGCGTTTGCTAAGTGCTACTGTTCACCGCACCCCTCCCCCACCCCTCCCGCAGGCGTGCCTTCTAGCGAGCGGTTTGCCTTCTGCCTGGGTACCATGCTCTCAGACGTGGCGGCGCGCCGGCCCGACAAACGCCAGGCGATTCTGAGCGCCCAGGTGCGCGTCTTTGCCGACCTGGTGGCCGCCGTCCGGGCACACAAGGAGAGCACCGACAATGGCAGCATGGCCTCAAAAGGTGGGAGACGAGTTGTTCGTGGGTGGGTGTTTGTTGGTTGGTGGGAATGGGTAGAGACGAGTGTGCGTAACAGGGTCATCGGTTAATGAACCGTCTTATGAATGTTTGCACCTTGGAATAGGGGGTTCTATTTGGTTTCGCTTAAAGGCTGGTAAAATGTATTATTAATGCATACTTTTAAATGAATTTCGTTAGCTTCGAGCCTTGCTCTCTGTTCCAGCATTCTTGTTTGTTTGGTTACCAATGGTCTCTTTCTGTTCAATTCCAGCAGTGTGTCACATGTTTCTTTCCGTTCCAGTCCAGCTGTGCGTCACCACCGTTCCGCTGCTGATCGGTCTGGCGCGCGCCATGGGACGCTCCTCCGTCCAGGAGCCGCCGCTGTTCCTGCGCATCTTCCCCCGGCCGCTGCCACCGCCGGTGGCCCCAGCGCCGCCGCCTGTCGACAGCCGGCCGGCCAAACGCTCCTTCAGCCACTTTCGGTCCATCATTCCTCGCTCGATGAGCAGTAACTTTCCGTCCGGCACGGACCTGAGTGTGGTGGATGCGTCACGCAACTCCAGACAGGACGTCAGGTGAGGGGCTTTGCCATGCCACAGTCAACTGGTGGCTACTGCTCAAGGCTATCCTGGGGAATACAATATGACTCAATATAGTTGTTGTGACTGTTTTTTCTACGTTGCGTCTTTTGCTGTTATATCATAACCAGTTTGTTCTTTTTATGTCCGCTTCTTGACTATTCTGAACCGAGGAACTTGCAAAGTTACATTCAATTGTCGATTGCCAGCCAGCCACCATTATGTCCATCGTGTGGCTGTCTGACTGACTGGCTCCGCTGTGTGTACCGTCAGGTGGCGGACGCCGGTGCTGTCCACCCAGCCGTCCGTGCCGCTGGACCCTCAGTTCCAGTTCTTCTGCAAGTTCGGCTCCAGCTTCCAGCCCAGCCTGCCGGCTGTGGCCGGACAGCGCGAGTGCAAAAACCCGCTCGTCTTCTCCGTCAAACAGCTGGAGGTAAATCGCTACGAAGAACTATGTAGGTTCATGCGGGTCTCCGTGAAAATACTAGTAGCCACACAGCTGAACACCGCTAATGTTAGCTTTCCCTTAAGTGAGCCTGACGTTGAGCCGTCTGTCTGTGCCTTGCTCCCCAGGAGCTGTTGAGCCTGGCCAAGTACCTGCTGCTCAAGGACGTGCTGAACTACCTGGACAACCAGGCGACGGACGTGTTTGCCGCTGAGCTGCAGGTCATCTTCCCCTACCAGACGTTCAACGAGATCCTGAACCTGACGATCGCCGCCCTGCTCAGGGAGCTGCTGCAGCATCAGACTGGTGAGAGAAATGGAGAGATCGTAGTGGAGTCACAGTGAGAGATCTTTTGAAGCATCGTCGTTAGCAACAGGGAGGAGAACAAAGTACACTGGTCACATCTCAAAAGTATCATGCGAAATTAATAATGTACGGCTTGAAGGCGCTGAAAACCCAACACCCTGGCCTAAAATATCTTATCTGATCTGAGTTAATGCAACAATCACATTAGCTGGTTAGCATGCTCCTTGAAAGGTCTCCGTGTAATTAAACGAGATTGTTGATGTTTTCGGACCGTTGCTAAGCTAAATTAGCCAAATCAACACATTAAATGTGTTGATAACGAATCTGTCGGTAATATGGAACCTTATTTCCATGCACTGCCGATAGCCCATCTCACGTCGCCACATCCCCCACCCACAGACCTGCCGGCTCCGTTCACTCGGGACGTACAGGAGTTCATCAAGGGTCTGTTCCTGTCGGGTCAGACCGAGCTGCAGGGCCGCCAGCACGACGCCGAAGAGAGCGCCGACCGACGGCACGCCTACCAGGTCGTCAACAAGTACAAGCTGAATGTGCGCGCCAACGCCGCCTGCGTGGAGCTGCTCGTCTGGGCCGTCCAGGATGAGGCTGGTGAGTGACAGAGAGGGTTTCGGGGTAGGGTTTTCTGTGTGTGGAGAGGAGAGGGAAATGTGGGCCCCTTGGCTCTGCTTGTGTTGTGCGTGACAGGCCGTTTAGCTTTGATGTGGTTGGATGTCTGGTAATGGTCTGAATCAGTGATTATCGCGCTTGACGGTCTAACTCCAGTCCTGCTTCAGTCAGTATGTGCTTGACGCCGGCGTTGTGATTCTCTGTAGTGTGTTAACGTTAAAGATGTGTCACGATATTCCATTTCCTCTCAATTTCAGTAACTCTAAACGATCCTCTAACTGATTTATGTTCCAGGTGCCGACAGTCTGTGTAACCGTCTGACCGAGAAGTTGACCTCCGGTCACGGCCACCGGATGGTGTTGGCTCACATGCCGCTACTGCTCGTCTGTCTACAGGTGAGAGATCCACGTACCCTGGTAGACCAGATAATACTTCAGATGATGTGTATCTTTTGTGCTTTCAGTAGCCGATGAAATGTGTTCGAGCTGTTTCCTTGGCGATTTGTTCATCGTTTGGTCTTCTTTGACTTTTTTTATTGAAAATCACGTCTTTATGGAAGATGACTGATAATTCAACTCTGTTTGACCTATGATGTGTGACAATGCTACTTGGTCTGAATGGGTGTGCTACTCTATCGCGTGTCTGATATGTGATAATTTTATCTCTGAGCTGATCTCGGCTGATCTCTACATCCTTTCCCTTCTCCCCAGGGTCTCGGCGAGCTGGCGCAGCGATTTCCGTCGATCGCCTCCAGCTGTATCCGGTGTCTGCGAGACTTCCTCGTGCTGCCCTCGCCGATCCTTGCGCGCCTACAGCGGCAGCAGAGCGATCTCACCACGCCCGCCGGGCAGAACATTACTCTGACGGGTAAGGAAATGTACAGTCGCGGCAGCTTCAGAGCGACCTGACCGCACCCGCCGGGTAAAATATCACACTGCAGGTGCGTTTGAGGAACGCCACGCGACTTTTGTACATGCAGGCGTTGTCAGTTGGACCGAGACGCTTCCTTCCCGATTAAGCATATTAAATGATTTAACGACTATGTTGGAGACGTTTCGCTGATTAACCCTCCCGTCCCTCGCGTCAACGTTCAACGCTGACCCCATTACGCCATTTCTCCAACTAACCCCTTAGTTTCTTTCCAGTGACAGACACGAGCGGGGCAGCGCCCGGACGCACCAGCCGCGTCACTGACTCGGCCCTGGACCAGCTGAGAGACGCGGCCATCGAGAACCTGTGTGTGGCGCTCAAGGCCGGTCACTCGTACGACGATGTGACCATCAAGGCGTTTGTGGCATCCGTCTCCAACCGGCTCTTTACGGCCACCCACCGCGCCAAGTGAGACGGGATTCGGCGTTTGTGTGTGTGTGGGTGACAGAGGAGGACGGCCATTGTCAGTCCATCACTGGGAAATGATTAGCTAAATGGGCTACGGTATCTTTACCTTGATTTTTTGAAAGTTTATGTCAAAGTGTGGCGTGTATCTGTGCCAGTGGAGATTTCCATTGTTATGCCAGAAGTGTGATGTCAGTCAGTTTTTTGCGCGTCATTGTATGATTCCAGTCAGTGTGATCCACCTTAGAAATGAACCATTACGGCACTCAAGCTCGCTGACCCCCGATTATTATCATCATCAACCACTATCGCTCCGTTCCACCGCCAGCGCGCGTACGATCGACTACAACCTGATCACGTACAACATGATCATGGCGCTGGGACACGTGGCCGTGGCTCTGAAGGACACGCCGGACACGTCGTACTCGATCCTGCAGTTCTTCGTTCAGATCTTCTGCCGTCGTCCGAGCGAGGTGGACGTGCTGATTGTGGACCAGATGGGGTGCATGGTGCTGGCGCGCAGTGAGGTGAGAGGTGGGGTGTGAGAGAGGGATTGTGGGAGCTAGGACAGCAGGGGGAGGGGGAGATGTGGAGTGGCCGTGGTGATGGAGGTGACTTAAAGGTGCCAGGGTCTTGGCAGGTGAGGTGCGGATATGGTAGGCTTTCATGTGGCTGTAATGGTTTGCGTTATGATTTAGGCGCTGTTGATACTGCCTAAAGATGCTCTCATATTTCGACACCTTTTTTTAAACCCCACATTTGTTCTCCGGTGAATTTCAGACAAGTTGGTTAGAGACCTTCAAAAAAGGTATTATCACTCGATTTTTCTCAAGTTTGTCTGTCTTGGCAGATAAAGCAATATCAGAACAGGCTTACGAACACACATATTTGATCAGGATCGGACGATTGGACACTTTTAAAAGGAGATCTTTCGTGCCTCCCGGAAATTCACGGGAGAGCAGATGTGGGGTTTAAAAAAAAGGTGTCGATTTAAACGTTGTCTTGTCGAGAATCCACTACAGCTTCACTAAATGACTCCAGGTTCAATTCTGCCTGCACTTTATCGCCTTACCATCTCTAGTTTAAGTGTAATCTAATGCAAACTGACAAGTTACTTGGTTAATAGAGTTTGTTCAGGCAAAAGTTCGCTCTGGAGTATGGTACTGCTGTGTCAACTAATGGGTCCCGCTCTCGCTTACTGTTAAATGTTAGCTGACCCTCCGACGTCCCTTTTTCAGCCGCGAGTCTACGAGGAGGTGATGAAGGTGTTCACCCAGATCACCGTCGAGTCGAGCAACACCGTCTACTCGGACCAGGCTGCCAGTGAGGACCGCGGCAAGGACTACAGGTGAGAGAGACGGCTGCCTGAAGTCATCTGCCGCAGATGTAGGGGAAACGTACCCAACAGGTCAGCAGCTGGCGTAATGACACAATTCAAATCCTGGTGAGAGCCTAGCGGGTTACGCAGCCGAGGGGCGTCAGAAACATAGTTATCTTCCAAAGTGTCAGATATGCTGAGAAAACCACAGCAGGAAATGCCGATATCGACTCTGAACTCAATGAATCAATAAATGAACTGATAACAGAGGTCCATCGTCGATAGCATTTGCCGTATCGGCTCCCGTATCAAACTTCAGTGTCAATGTGTCAATATCAGACGTATCAGTGTCAGTGTCAGATTACGTCTATGTCAGGTACTATATCCGTGGTCCCGGCCTACCTCCCTGTCCTCGACATGACAAAGCACGGACAGCCGCCGTCCTTGACCGGCGCGTCGGCTGGATGGGAATCCGACAGGTGCTGACGGTATATATTCGCTACATTCGGACACGTGCACGGAGGTTCTAAAGAGAGCTATGCAGCAGCAGCAGCTGTGTCCGGAAACATTTTAAAGCGTGACTCAGTACTTTGCAGTAGTTTGAGTGGTAGAATCCTATTGATCTGGTTCTTAAAAAAACAATTGTTTTTTGACAGCATCTGTCTTACACGTAGACTGAGATTAAATGATGAGAAATAGGATTAAATCCGTTTTGCGAAGTGATCGGGTCAGATTAGCTAGGGTGTTATAGGTGTCACCCGAGAGCAGCTGAGCTGGGCTGAGGCTGACGTTGTTATTAAAGTTGAAGTTGAAGTTGAGGTTGAAGGTTTTGTGCATGCTTTACTGGAAGAATTATTGGAACTGAATGGCTACTACTTTTCATTGTTTGTTCCAAGCTTTACACCGTCTGATGCCGTACGAACTCTGGAAATGTGAGCAAGTGCCCCGGCTTTTCTGTTCATCTAATTGTATCAAAGAAGTTATTCAGTTGCATTATAGAAATGCATGACATGTATTTACACATTAAAACACACTGATGTCTCGTGATAGCTGCAGCGGGCATACATTTCTATGGCAGCAATATCTCACATTGGCAGCTGAATTCACAAGCATCTTGTAAAGCACTTAAATTCTCCTAGACGGGTATTTCGCTCTAGTAGACTGGACGCCTTTCTTAGTATACATTCACTGCTCTTGGTCTTCAGGTCTCCACTAAGCTCAACAGCTGCTCCAGTGACTTGCTGTGATTTCATCAGACTCCGACAGTTCCCCTTCGCTCCTTACGGTTTCGGGATCCCCTTCGCTGCTTACGGTTCTGTCGGCTCACGGCTACCCACGTCTTTATTTCTCACAAAAAGGAAACTCCAATCTCCTATCTACCTAACTAACACAGCTCATTACCGAGCAGTTTGACGCTGGTGAGCTGGGCCGGGTCGTACCGACTGCGGAAGTCGACCACGAAGAACAGGGTGACCACGTCGCCGGCCCGGTGCCCGCCGTCCCACATCGTGTTGTGCACCGTATAGACGCGGTTGTCAGTCGTCTCCAGCTGGTCGGACCACATCTCCAGGTTCGCCAGCTCGGTGTCAAACTCTAGCGTGGCGTTCCACGTCTGGGTGTCCACTGGGAACGTCAGGTTGACGTTCATGCTGTAGCCGAGCTCCCAGGTCTGCACCACGTCCATGGCCTTGCATGCGGAAAGAGCGGCGTGACGATCCCCGGAGAGGGCACCGAGGCGAGCCCGAGAAAGAGCACCGGAGGCGGTCACGGCCACCAGGAGCAGCAGACAGGAAACACTCAGTCGCAGCATGGTGTGTCTAAACGGCGGTCGGCAGTCGGCGGGGAGAAATCACAGCTCTGAGGCGTCGGCAGTGTCTGCCCGGGCCGCTGATAGTGGACGTTTATGTACCCTCGACTGAGGCCACAGGAGGGGAGGGCATTCGGCGACCTCCGAACGGTAGTATGTAGTTCGAAGGTGACGTCGGTGCTTCCGCCTCCACGCCAGCGGTGGCGTGGGAGTCGCCAGCTGCCGGGCGATGACGGCACGCGGCGGCCTCTGCTGTGATATGCTCGGGAAGAGGGAGTGCGTCGCGTCAACGTGATGGGACTCGTGCCGGAGGGCCGGATGTGACTCTGACGTGGGGGGGGGGGGGGTGATCAATTTGGATTTGGAGGGTCTTCCCATATGGAGACCCCATGCACTCAGCCATTAATTCTCACATCCATTTACATTTATTTTGACACTCTGTATAACCACATTGATTCTGATTAGCTAGCTGTTGTGACTTGGTGAGTAAATGACATACTTTGTGCCGTGGCAAAGTCTGGTAGTTATTTCCTTTTTGTGTTCTGTGATGTAATTTTCATTTGATGTAATTTGCATTGATTTGACTTCTACCTTGATCTGAGTCAATGCAACTTTCAACTGTGGGCGTCATGAACCCTTTTCTAACCTTTGATAACAGAGAAAAGCTGATCCATAAATCGACTCCTCCTTTCAGCGGTCGAAAATAAAAGTTGTCGATGGCAAGAAACTCTGGAATGGTTTGTAAAAGTTCCTTTAGAGAAATTTGATCGGTGGATTTGAATGAACTGCAGATCAGTAGAATCTGCTCTCCGATAGTTGTCGGTCCTTCATTTCTTTGAGAATGACGCGACCTTCTAACAATCTGTGGCATACTGCGGAGTTCACATGGCCTGTAGCTTGGGAACTCAACATGTGGCTGCATTTGGTACGAAGGTCTTGCCCCGAGAATTTGCGTGACTATGAGAAATTTGGGCCTCAGAGCCAGGTCCGGTTCAAAGGACATTGTTTTTCGGTCAGGGGCGAGGCTGGACAAACGAAAAATTGTTGATAGGGCGATTAAAGTCGTATCGAAGATATTTGTGTGGTGATAAAATATCTTGCTTATGTTTTTTTTTTCTTTCAGATTTCCGTTTGAGACTGTGATTTGGATATTTATAAGCCTCAAACTTTTTGTAGCCTATGAAAACATGACAAAAAAATAACTAAAAACTCGTAAGTTTAGTGCGTTTCAGCTTTACGTATCTCAGTTGCAATTTCTAACGATTGCTTGTGTTTGATATAATGCTGAAATAAAGCATCAATGTCATTGAATGTGTTTTTCCTATGTGTCGCACAAACATGAATGACTTTTAGCTGCGTCAACCTGACATTTAGGTTTCGTGTTGTTTTCTGATATTTTTTTTTCTAACGAAAGAACATTCGATACGAGGTTGTGCATATTTTATTCATAAATACGATCACAATCCAACATCAATACAACTTGTACATGATACCAATACATCATAACTCCCATGACATCGGTAACGCTAGAATAATCTGATGTTGCCAGGCTCTTTCGGGTCGGCATCAAGGCTTGCTGCGGTTACCGTTACTATAACCTTGAATCGTGTCACTGTCTTTTGAGCGTTACCGACGCTTTAAGTCGGCTTCTCGATGGTTCAGAGTCCAGGCAGACTGGTTATTGACACTGGCAGTATCAGACGCGCTCCTCCAGTAAATTTCAGCCTATCATTCTCCAGTAGTCTGTCTCCGAGTTTGCTGATTGACCGGCTCGCTCAGGGCACGACACACTTCTCCTGGCCGTCCAGTTTGACGCTGTACACCATAGGCGTGGCCATGTTGTCGGCGTAGTGGGCGTTGAAGCTGATGGTGAGCGTGGTGTTGGCGTTGTGGTGGCCGTCCCACGGGTTGTTGCTCAGGCTGAAGACGCGGTGGTCGCTGGTGCTGGCCGGGTACGCCCACTGGTTGAACGTCTGCAGCTCGTGGTCGAACGCCACGTCCACGTTCCACGTGTCCACCTCCGTCTCAAAGTGGATGTGCAGGTCGCCCGAGAAGCCGTGGTCCCACACGGCCAGCTCCTCGTAGGCGCAGCTGCGCACACACAGCGTGTCGGCCGGGCTGCCGCACTCGTCGGCTCCGGCCGCGGCCAGCGCCGCCGCCGCCACCAGCAGAGCGAACTGGGGGAACTGCATGGTGCGTGTGTGTGCGAGGGTCTGACAGGGACTAGGAGGGCGCGGCGCAGGGGCGACGTTTTATGCGCGCCAGGACCGTGGGAGGACACCGGTGGTGCGGCCCCACGGGGGCGATAGGACGGCGCACGGTGCGCGGGCGGAGGACAGGCGTAGGACCCGGGTCCAAGGTGGATGAAGATGCTGCCTGATCACACACCGAGCTCTACTTCTCACGCGATGACGTCAAGAAAGAAGAGCAGAGATTTGGGAGGAGATCCGTTAAAATGACATGATTCATGAATAGATTTGTGCTGAACATTTCTCTGACGCAAGCTTGACGAAAAAGACGGTAGCTTCACTTCGTATGACGCCCACAGATAAGTTACGTAATTTGACCTGACCTCTATGCCCTGTCATGTCTAAACTTCTACCTCGTGCCCGTTCCGGCTCCCCTATTAACAGGCAGCTCCCGGCAGGTGACCAACGCCCCTGCTTCTGACATGGTCTGCCCTCGTTCCGCTGCCGACAGACAAGTGATTAACGGCTCTGCCTCTCTCCTGACTTGACCTGACCTCTGACCCCGTGTCCCTGCCGAAAGACACTTCTCCCAGCCGATCTGCCTCAGCATCTCCCCTGACCTGACCTCTGACCCTGTTCCCCTGTCGGCAGGCACGTCTCCCAGCCGGTGATTAACGCCCTGGCCAACATGGCCGCCCAGCTGCAGGGAGAGACGGAGCTGCACGACCTGCTGGTGCGTCTGCTGGAGCTCTTCGTCCAACTGGGACTCGAGGCCAAGCGCGCCTCCGAGAAGGCCATGGGATCGCAGAAGGTTAGTGGCGGTCAGCCTGGGCTGGGTGGGGTAGGAGGGAGAAGGACGTATTGTTAGTGGAAGGAACAGGTGTTTTGGTGTTGGTGTGAGAATGACTGTAATTCCCTGGTCTTTCATCGCGTCAGTTCTTGTCAGCGTCGTTGTGGCTCCATATGGTAAATGTTCAGTTACTGCCTCTGCAGTTAGGTTAGCCAGTTGTATAAGTTTCAAGAGTTTTAGAACACATTTAGCCATAATTTAGCCCTCTACATATAATGTTCTACTATGGTAGCTTTTGCATTGCAAGTTTTTACCCATACAAAATAGCAGTTGGTCAGTTTGGCCGACCTAGATAACTTTGTCTAATTATGTAGCTGCTTGTATATTTCAATCAGTTCTTTTTGTTTGGCGTTCGAGCGCCATGTATACTCGCATAGGCAGCAGAATGTCTCGGTAGACTGAGCCCGTGCCAGCTGAGTGAGCTGTAGTTACCTTTTTGGCCGTCGCTGTCTGTCTGTATGTGCGCGGCCTGTCGTCGTTTCCGGCCGGATCACGGCAGTCATGGTGCCGCCGTTACCGTTACAGGCTCCGTCGGTCACCAGAAACATCAAAGTGAGTCGTCCGCCGGCCGCGCGCGGTCCGTCCTACTCGGTTCTCTAACCTGTCGCTGTCCTTAGTGTGTGTGTGGTGTGAGTGGAGGTGACCGGCTCTGACGGCCAGTGACCGCCCCGCGAGTATCGCTACCGGCCCGTAGTAGGTACTCTTGTCACTAACACCGACACTGGTCTGAATGATTACTACCGCGGAGCACGAAACACTGACACTGACATCGTCATCACCGCTTCCCTCTGTAGTTACTCCTGAACACTGGCATTGACGTCGACACTCTGACACTTCCACTTCTCCGCTCTGTAAATATTTCAATCACCAGCGGACGCTGACACTGACACGCTTCCGCTCTGTAGATACACCTGGGATCCATGGACTCTTCAGGTTTTATGCTGGCTGACCAGTGACCACTGCTGACCACTCAGTTCATGACTGGTTCAGTCTGGTTCAGACTGGTGACTTACGACTGTGGCGTGCTAGCGCTATTTATTTAGCTGCGGCGTCTTCCCCAGCCCGGCCGCTCTTTGCGCCGCCAGATTGTGGGTAAATTCCTTTCCTCCGAACACGCCCATTATTGCCCATAGACTCACACGACCGCTGATGCGAACTACTGACCGTTGACTGTGACCATCAATCACATACATCTGCTGATCATTCCATTCAGGAAACTTTTCTGATGACCTTTTTCCCTATGATCCTTGATCGTTGACTGACTGGTTTTTGACAGTCATGAAAATGTTCCACCCCATACCTTACAAACAGACTGATCTCTGGCACTTTCCGGCGTTTTAGGCCTACTGCACAATGCCACCACACAATGACGCACTCATCAATTCTACCCTAACCCACTATAACCATTGACTACTAACCACTGACATCGCATGTGATACATTCAGCTCCTCCCATTACTCTTTATCTCTGCTATGAGTTCCACCCGGGCCTCCCCGTGTCACCACATTACTCGAACGCGACTGAGAGGGCCTGTGCGCTACTGTAGTTGGTGCTGCCTTTGGCGACCCGGCAGGATGCTAGAGCATGGTGGCTATGACAAGATGCAAGAGGATGGGACGGTCTGCAATTACTTCTGTGCCAGATTCGGCCCAACAGTAGCTTGTGCTGCTCGATGACCGACTAACTTTTTTAGCAGTTGAATAACCATGCGCCAAGACTGATTTGAAATATGAGTCACAACAGCCTTCCTTACTTGAGTAGGTAAATGAGTTAAAAAGGGGGAAAAATATCGATATTCAACGATGTCCACCATAGATTTAGAATGGCACTATTGCGTTCTAGCACTGTTTCCTTCTTGATTTTTCACCTGTCTTTTTTTGGCTTGTAATAATGGTGTTCTTTTTCCGTGAACTTGCATATTTCTCGGATTGTTAAGCATCAGTTGCCGCCTTTTAAACGGCGTTTTTAAAATAGTTTTTTGTTAGTCTTTTATATCTATAGCTTATAAGTCTTTGTTAGTCTTTTTATTGTCATTTATTTCGATTAGCGTGTAAATACACTTACGAAATCAAGCCTCTAGACCTAAAATCTGAGGAGCGCAATCCGGGGTAGTTTTCAACCAGTTGGGGTGGTAACAGAGACTTAGTTTTCTCCCTTTTAGTAGTTCGCTTTATTGGCACCAGTAGTATTTTATAGAAGCCACATTCGACGGCACTGGCAGCAACCAGCTCAAACTGCGCTGGCTTCGTAATTATGTAGTGTTGACTTGCACGCCTCACGATGCATATGTATAGCTGCACGATAACTAACTCATCCCACCCGGCGTGGTACTAAGGGCAGTATTTGTTGGTGTTCAGTATCATGTAACCAAACAATAATTGTTTTGTTTTTGCATTTTAGTACAGTGATGTAATAATGTTTATATTTTTATTCCATTTTATTTACGATGGGAACAAGAATTACGGCTGCAGATTTAATTCGTTCCATTGGTGAGCTTTAAAGACGACGAGTGTAATCGTGAGCTAAAAGTTGTTAGTATTTCATCCGTGAACTCTCTGTTGTGTAATTTTGTAGAGTTCCTTGAGTTAGAAGGTATGTTCTTGTGATGCTACAAGGCAGTTACTATTGACGACTCTAAACGTTATGAGAACGTTGGCCCTTGGCCACTTCAAGTACTACTTATTCCCTGATTAAGCCCCATCGATATCATAGCCTGATCTGGTAGTTTTCTTTTTCCACAGCTGTCAATTCTGACCCTTTCAGTCCAGTGCTCGCCGGTTCGACACCTAGCCGGTGACCCGGGCCCGGCGTGGGTTGAGCTGCCATCTGTCACATCCGAGGTCGTCGCCGTTCCCTTTACCGAGCTGCCAGACCCTCGTGTACTCCCTGGTGACCATGGTAACCTGTGGCTGCAATGGTGACCCATGGTGACCTGTGCTGACCTCTTATGACCGCTTACGTCCACAGGCGTCCAGCTCGGCCGGTAACCTGGGAGTGCTGATTCCCGTGCTGGCCACCCTAGTGCGCCGCTTGCCACCCATCCGGAACCCCCGGCCTCGTCTTCACAAACTCTTCAGGGACTTCTGGCTGTACTCGGTCGTCATGGGCTTCACCGTCCAGGACTCGCGTAAGTCGTTTAGTGGTGGTTCGATGCATGGTATCAGTCAATGGATGGGGGTAGGTATATTTTACCCACATCCATTGTACCCGGTACAATATACTACCGGGACCATCGTGTTACATATCTCAGTCTCGCTTTCTCTGTCCGTCCCATCCCGACCGTTTTTACTTTACCAACTGTACATACGTGCGGGGGAGGGTGGGGACACACGTGTGGGCGATGAGCGTGCGACCATCGCGGGACCGTACCAGGTGGGTAACAGGACCGCGTCTCTGGGCGGCCTGCGTCACTGCCACTGTGACCTCTGGCCCCATGGGGACCCATATCAGATGACGTCACAAAGAACGTTACATCACTCACTGGGAATGCCGAAATATGGCACACCGCATCCCTTGAAAAAAGAAAATATGGGGAGGATGCTGAAGCCAACGGGCAAAGTGTTTATCAATATGAGTCTCTACCTTAACTGTTGACCCCGTTATGACCTTTTATAACCTCTGAGTTCCGAATCGCTCATGGGGTCTGGTCGGTGACATTGTTCAAGTAACGCTCCTCACGTATTCTTCTGGCTATGACGCTGTATAACTCCCCCCCCCCTTGACTTTTGGGTGCGCCAGTGTGCATTAGTGTCCAATGTATGTAAGCAGATATGTCCCATGACCGGACGTTGTCCCTGTCCCCGACAGATATCTGACCGGTGAAGTGGTACGACCAGCATTCACTCTCTTCATGGACGTAACCTATACTTATGACCGTTGACGTGCGTGCCCAAGGCAGCCCTCTGGCCGGACGTGGAGTGGTACGACTAGTGTCCTGTCTCGCCTGCAGCCTGACGTGCCATGTGATGTGACCCATTCTGATCCCTGCCCGCCTCAGACATCTGGCCGGTCGAATGGTACGAGGGTGTGAAGGAGATCGCCATCAAGTCGCCGCTGCTCATCAGCTCACAGACCTCGCTGGCCTCCGAGATGCGCGAGCTGCAGCACACCTCGGCGCTGCGGAACGACGCCGTATCATTGGTGAGTGGTCGTGGTGGTGATGGGTGGTGAAGAGGGGGTGTGGTTGTTCATAAATGAGTTTGTTGTTTGGGTTTGACGGAAAACGGATATGTTCGATGAAAATGAAATTCGCATTCAGATAGGTTATGGTTGCATGGACCGGTGTTACTTGCAATTCTGGTGAATGGAGAAATCACGCTTGCTCTTGCTTTATCAGTTTTAGTTTCTCGTTCCAGGCAAATAGGTTTATTGGCCCCTGCGTCCCCCAAACGCTTTTCGTTTCGACTTAATCGTTTCAACTCTGCTGTTCCGGATACCAACTCTGCTAACACCCCTCCTTCTTCTTCGTCACTGTTAATGTTAATGTCCTGTAGCCTATCGTATTGTGTCCTTCGTCATCGCCACCAATATCCCTTTTTTTATTTATGCAGACGGAGCTCCAGGAGCTAAAGACTCAGATCCTCAACTACCTGGAGCAGCCGCAGGACGTGTCTGCCATCATCAGGCAGCTGTCGTTCGCCCAGTGCACCTACCTGCTGTCCGTCTACAAACTCGAGATGCTGCGGTGAGCTCAAACGCTGGAATGGGGATAGCTTTCGGTGGTGCAGTGTCGTGACTTGTTACCGACGATTGTGACTGGTGCATGTGAATGTTGTGATTTGGTGTTTGAGCACGCATATTTGCGTTTACCATCGTCATTTGGTATTTTCACTGGAACTTCAGCATTTTTTTTTTTTTAAGGACTTTTGTTGTGCTGTCTCTGTAAGTCCTGGTTGTATATAAGTTGTGTTTCGTGTTTCACAGAGTGCGGTTGTGTTTGACCTTCGGCGTCCTGTTGCCTTTCACAGAGTGCAGAACCAGGAGGAGACCAGTTTCCACGCCATGTTTGAGTACCTGAACGACCCAGCCATTCAGAGGGACAAGTACAACATGTGGGCCTGCATGAACAGGTGAGCAACTGAGCGCAGACCAATACTAGGGTGGAGTCGTTCCGAACAAATCTATGAACTTAACACACCTTTCCTTTTCCAGGTTTCGTTTCCTTCTTGCATCTGAGAACTGGTTGGATGCTATTGTACGACTCTTGTGTTTGTCATCTTTTTATTTATGTGTACGAAACAGGGTATGCGTTTTTGTATACTGAGTGTGGAGTTTTATCAGCTGACCCAATCGCACTGTGAACGCTGACTGGCAAAGCATCCATCTTGACTTGTCAACTTTCATATTGTTCGATATGTTCTTCACTTCTTCTCAACAACCCCTGTCATGACTATCCTGCGCTTAAACTGACCGTCCCCGAACCTGTCCTTCCGGCAGCGTCGGTGAGCGCGTGTTCGCCAGCTTCCTGGACGTGATGGCGCACAAGCCAAAGAACACTGCACGGGAGCGTGAGCTCGAGGGTCACGCCCAGTTCCTGCTGGTGCACTTCAACAGCCCGCACAAACAGATCCGGCGTGTGGCCGACAAGTTCCTCTCGCAGATGGTCGATAGGTGAGTGGGAACAGTTAATACAGTTAGGTAACACTTGTGTTTCATTGTGTATGTAAGGGTCACAAGGAAGACACGAGGCAGATTTGAGGTGTATTTTGATCAGTCCCCTGCCGTTTACTCATGTCGCACTGTATGTATAAATATTTGTACGCCAGTGTGAAGAAGCAAGCTAATTTGCAGTGTTCACTATAATTCTTTAAGACAACTCTGTGAACATATTTCATGTTCTTTTAAGCTCTACTAGTTGATTTGTTTTAAGCCCTGGAAGGATTTATATAAAGAACTACCGACACTCCTGTTCATCTGTCACCTGACCACACGCTGACACGTCTGTGTGTTCGGCAGGTTCCCGCACATCCTGTGGAACGCCACCGTGCTCACCACGATGCTGGACATCCTGCAGCTGCTCAGTGAGTCGCTGCAGCAGAACCCTAATGAAGTGTACCCCGACCTGCGGGTGCCCGGTACGCCGTACTGCCTGGTACTGCAGGACACCACCGAGGCGCGAGAGGTACGGACTACGCAGAGTGGTACTGAAGTACAGTGGGAGGTAAAGTTGTCCCTGAAACTCCAATTATCTCAGTGTATCATGGGATGAGAGTGGGCTGTTGGTGGATGACGATTAGGGTCTGTCGGCGGTAGGGGAGATATGACATATTTTGTGAGATAGCGTTAGCAGATTCGCCAAAATTTGATTCGATCAGTAATCATGCATGGGTTGGGTTGGTGATCGTAAGCTGGCTTTTTGAGGCTCTTGCGATAACATTAACCAGAGTGAACACTGAACATGCACTAAATGTGTTCTCTTCACATTCATTCTACCTCAGTTCCTTCCGTCTGAATTAATTTGACACAATGCCAGGCCTCCCTACCCTGACCTCCCTGACCTTTTCACCTCCAGACGACGGTGAAGGACTTCTCGGCGCGCTGCGAGGGCATCATTGAGGAGGCGATGAAGTGGGCGCCGGCCACGACGCGCTCCCATCTGGCCGAGTACCTGACGCGGCCGGCACCCGCGCACCACACGGGCCTGGCACTGGCGCTCGAGGCTGGACTACATTTCGCCGGCCCCAGCCCGCAGGCGGCCCCGCTGGCGGTCAGTGGATAAGGATGAGGGGAGGAGAGGGGATGCTGGGTTAGCGTGGTTAGAAAATAGAGCTTCCCACAGAATAGAAAAGGGCTGCATGCGGGTATCTGTCGTGATTGGTCAGTTGCTTTTGACAAGTGTTCAGTGGGAGTAGTTCCCCTTGGACTCTCCAACGCAACTCAATGTTCAGGAGTAAATATGCAGCTCCCAAGTCCCAACCCTTACAGACTGCTCTATAACAGCTACCTACTCACCACAATGCAAAGCGATTTGCCTCCCTGCTTACTATTCGGCTATTCTCCCCCTGTTACTCCACCCATACACTCTAACTCACCCTCTCCCCACCACGCTCCACCGGCAGGCGGCGACGCTCTCCAAGCTGCCCGAGTGTGTGAAGAGTAACAGCTCCGAGCTGGTGACGGCCGTGGCCCTGCGCTGTCTCTACTCTGGCGAGGTCCGAGGTCTGCAGGCGGCGGGGACTGACGGTCAGCTGGCGACTCAGCTGAAGGCTACGTGGACGCGGAAGGATGACGCTGCGCACAGTCCGGCGCTGCTGAGGGTTACCGCGCAGCTCATCAGCACTACGGGTGAGTGGGAGAGAGGGAAGAGGGGGCGAGAGGGGAGAGAGGGAAGAGGGGGCGAGAGGACAGAGTGAGGGGATGGGACGACGGACATTCGGGGTTTGACTAGGGAAGGAGGGTATCCCTTCTCCCCTCGAGAGGTGTCTTAGAAAGCACAGACGCTGTCTTGGTTGCCTACAGAGCTTTGGAGGCTAAGAATGATTACTGATAACTGGTCTAGTTTTGGAGAGATATTGACAGAAATGTTTTGTAAGTTTGACTTTGACGAAGATAACTTGAGCGTTCCTGTGTCTATCCGTCAGGTCTGGACCGGGAGCTGCTCCACCTGGTGGCCTGGTCTCCGGCCATCATGTTCACCGAACCGGCCATGCGTACCGGTATCCAGTGCTGGGAATGGGTGCTCTCGGCGCGGCCCGACCTGGAGATCAGCTTCCTGCGCGAAATGTGCGCCGCCTGGCAGGTCAGTGAAACGATGTGGGATATATGTCAATGACACGAATATACTTGATACTGTCCACGAATTGTTTCAGCTAAAGTATAATCCAAGTTACGTGTCTTCTTGCCTCGGTCTGATCTGACTGGATGGTCTGACTGCTTGGGATCTTTTCATCAAGTATACTGTTGACAAGCATCTCCCTCTGACGTTGCCCTCTGTGTTTCAGTACGCGATCGACAAGCTCCGGGTGTGACTGTAATGTAATAGTCTGACTGACTGTGATCTTTCTATTTCACTGTGTCTTCTTTGTTTCAGTACACGATCGACAAGCGCCTGGGTCTGTTCAGTGAGCAGGAGCCCGAGGTGAACCCGCTGGCCGTCTACGAGGGCTGCTCCATCGAGGCCAAGCCGCCGTTCGTGGCGCCGCACCACCTCTGGGTGCAGGTCAGTCTCAGCTGCCCTGATAAACAGTATGCTAACGCCTCCGGATGCAGGCCATCCCCACTTTTCAGTTCCCACCACCTCTGGGTCCAGGTCAGTCCCAGCTGTCCCCAGGCCCAGTCCCACCACCTCTGGGTCCAGGTCAGTTCCCACCACCTCGTGGGTGCAGGTCAGTGACAGCTGCCCTGACAAACACCACAGAGGCACCTCAGGGTGAAGGCCATCCCCCACTCCCCAGCTCGACCACCTCTGGGTTCGGGTCAGTTTCAACTGTCACCAGTCCCCAGCACCTTTGGGTGCAGCCCAGTCCCCAGCAACGCTAGGTCCAGATCAGTCATGTGTGTTTTATGCATTTTGAGCCACTTTTGCTCTAACCGCTCTGCAGCGATTGCTTTTTGGCACATCACTTGATTATCACCTTCAGCTGTCGTGCCCTTCCGGTCTGTCATTTCCCCGTTTTCCAAAAACCTCCACCTTGACGTATGACCAGTGGCCGTCTGTCCCCGCCTCAGTTTTTGCTGGAGCGTGTGGAGATCGCCCGGTACCGCAGCCGCGACCAGGTGGACCTGTTGTGCTCCCTGCTGCACAGCACACTGTCCTTCTCCGTGGGCGGAGAGCGGGGCGCCATGACGCGCCACGTGGCCGCCGTCGGCACCCGGGTCCGCCTGCTCACCTGTGGCCTCATACTGCTGCAGTCGGATGTGCTGCCAAAGTGAGTCAGACGGGGCTACCAAAGTGAGTCGGATAGGCGGTCAAAGCAAGTCGGACGGGATGGGTAAGTGAGTCAGACGTGCTAGGAAAGTGGACAGAATGTGCTGCCAAAGTTAGTCGGGTTACTCGCAAATTTAATTTAACTGCTGTCGTAACAAATGCTGCCACAAGCCATGAATCAGTCTGTCACTGTTTGGCAATGTCTAACGTCCGAAGTCATGTCCCCTTTTGAGCCTGCTTACAATTCGCACCACGGTCAAGCCGATTCATCTCCCCACGGTAGGACGCAGGGTAAGGTGGCGCTGCGCGAGCGGATCTACTACGCGTGCCTGGACTACTTCTGCGGCCGGCCGCGTTTCCCGTGCCCCGAACAGTCGGCCACCACTCTGCGAGAGGACATCACCGTGCTCATCCGCTTCTGGCAGAACATGCACTCGGACAAAAAGTACCTCAAGACCAGCATGATGGGAGGTGAGTGCCCTCTTCATGCTGATTGTAGCGTGGACCTGACTTAGTTGATGCAACGAAGCGTGATTACCCTGTTGCTAAGATCCGCAAACTGTGGTTTTTCAATGCGGTCTTTGAACGATGGAACAATTTTCATGCCATTGTGTTAGCCTGTGAACAAATTAACCGAGTGTTCCACCTCCTCGCCATTTCCCAATTGGTGAGTCTGACCGCTCCGACTTCGCTCGAGCAGGGTTCAACCAGTGGAACGTGGCCGGTACGCGCGAGGTGGCCTCCTCGGCGCGGCCGCCAGCCAGCGAGTTTAACCCGTCGGTGACGGGCTGGTTCAACACGGTGCCCCTCACCTCCAACAACTCGACACTGTCGCGCCGCTCGGCCAAACACCGGCTGGCTAACCCGGATGTCTACGTCAAAGACTACATCAAGAAGAGGAACCTGATCCTGGCGCTGCTGGTAGATGGATGGGATGTTTTAGGGGGTGGTGGGTGCTCCTGAGACTGGAGTTTGATGGGATGCGGTGCGGATGGCTGAGCGAAATCTGAGGAAAGTGGAGTGCAGGGGAATACGCTTGCGTTTTAAGGGTAGCCCGGTTTTCAATATTGCGATAAGTCTCATTGCTTAACTTCAATAGTACGTGTTATGTTTACTTAGCACTTCCTCAAGACACTCGCAAGGTACAAGGCACTGAAGAATGCATCGTACCGACTTCGACATGCGCCGTCTTTGTATTGCAGGCAACCACTCCCACCACTCTCCCTCGTGACCTCTCCCTCCCTCTCTGTCGACAGGCAGCCGAGATCGAGCGTCTGCTGACGTGGCACAACCCGCAGAACAGAGCCGAGCTGCACATGGCCGGCGAGGAGAACATGGCCGCCTGGCGCGCGCAGCCCATCTCGGAGAAACAGTGGCACGACCACGTCCGGCTGGCCTGGGACATCAGCCCCACGCTGGCCGTCATGCTGCCAGAGCGGTTCAAAGGTCAGCCGCCGAGAATGATACATTCACGTCTGACATTAATATTTACGAGTGGTCACTGATCGTACGTCAAATTTTTGCGATATATTTTTGCTATCATTTTGATTCCTCCATTTTTCTTCTGTTATGCTTATGCTGAAGGACATTGGTTGATTTTTCAGTCGGATGGACATGAGTGCTTCTAGAAAATACATTGGTGTTGAATCTACTGATCTGAATGTTTTTATTTTTATTCTTCCGGGTATGTTCCATTTCATCAGGTCCGCTGTCTTTCCGTTTCACTACCCCAACGAAAATCATTACCCTTCTGCCTCCCTGACCCACTCAGCCCGCGCTGCGCCGGTACCCCTCAGCCATTTGACACCCCTCCTCCCTCCCCTGCCGCCACCAGACGAGGTTATCACCCGCGAGGTGAGCCGTCAGGTGCGCAGTAAGCCGCTGGCCGTCTGCCGCGTCCCAGAGGCTCTCCAGTACCTGACCACGCCCGAGCATATCGTCAACGACATCATCGAGGTGAGTTTGGGGTCTGTAGATGCGTGTACACTGGATTGAGATAGAATATGAAATAAGTGGCCGTAAAAGTGGGTAGATGTATGGACCTCAGCCAGCCGATTGAGTGCACTAGCCGTAGCCGATAAGTCGATAAGTTCATGATTGATAAATGTCTGGTCTGGTATTTGAGTATTTAGGGCGCTGTTTTTAATCTCATGTCTCAAGTTGGATTTTAGAGGACGAGGAAGGTTCAGGGAAGGTCACCAAGATCCTGCGGAAGATGGAGGGTGCTGCACCGGACGTCTGCCCAGACCGGGCCATCAACGGGGACTGCGGGCAACTGCTCGCGGAGGACCGGGCCAAGGCCGAGGCGTTCGTCCGCACGTACGCCCACGTCAGTAGAAACGTGCGCCAACCCAAGCGCGACCGGATCGTCAAGACGGAGCTCCGCGGCCTCAAGGCTGCCCCGTGCTGCTGCAGGGGACAGCGCACCGACCAGTGTCAACCCTTCACCGAACAGGAAATGCACGACCAAATCCGACACCTCGGGACGAAGAAGGCGCCAGGACCGGACCAGGTATGCACCGAACACCTGCGGCACCTCGGACCGACGGCCTACCGGACCCTTCTGGCACTCATCAACAGATCGTGGTCCAACTTCGAGACGCCCGCCTCATGGCGACGGGCGACCATCATCCCCATCTTGAAGGCCGGCAAAGACCCCAAACAAGTGGGCAGCTACCGCCCGATCGCGCTCACGAGTCACATCGCCAAGCTAGCGGAGCGGATGATCGCGGCCCGGACGACCTACCTCATCGAGCGAGACCGACTGGTGCCCCCCGAACAGGTCGGGTTCCGCCGCGGGAGGTCGGCGGAGGACAGTCTGGCCCGCTTGGTCCAAACCGTTCAAGATGGCTGGAATCGCCCCAAGCCGAGACGAGGCCCGGAGGATGGCGTGACGGCGGACCGCTTTGTCCTCCTGGCGTTCGACTTCTCCCGTGCCTATGACACGATCGATCACCGGATGTTGCACCTGAAGCTCCTCAAGCTCCTCCCCAGATGTCTCGCGACCTGGATATTCCGGTTCCTTCGCGACAGGCGGGCCCGTGTAGAGGTCAACGGCGCGCACAGCAGCGAGCGCGTGTTCCGCGCGGGCCTGCCGCAGGGCTCGGTCCTGGCACCGACCATCTACACGCTCTGGGCGGCGGACCTTATCGAGACCCTGCGGAACGCCTCGGACCGCACGGACGTCCTGATGTATGCGGACGACACGGCCACACTGAGCGCTGGAGCCACCGTAGAGCTCGCGGTGGCTCGCGCCCAGAAGTCGGCCGACGCCCTGGCCCGATGGGCAAGGCACTGGAAGATGTCCATCGCCGGACAGAAGACCCAGGCGCTGCTGCTGACTCAGCGGAGCAGGGACGAGCGTGGCGTGCAACTCCTGGTGAACGGCACGCAGGTCACCGGTGGCACCAGCCTACATCTTCTGGGGGTGACCTTCGACAGACTTCTACACTTTAAAGACCACTGCGACTCTCTGCGGCGGAAGGTCCGGCCGCGGACGGCACAGCTGCGGAGGATGACCGGCCGGACCTGGGGTCTCCGCGAGGCGCAGCTCAGGACAGTCGCGAACGGGTATGTCCGGGGAGCCCTTGAATACGCGGCGGGTGCCTGGCTCCCGGCCGCGTCCCCGTCACACGTTCAGCTGGTGGAGCGCGAGCTGCTGGCGGCCGCCCGGGTGGTGACCGGATGCCCACGGTCCACCCCCAGGGATCCCCTGCTGGCCGAGGCAGGCATCCCTTCAGCATGGTCCACCAGGAATACGCTGGCCGCGCGAACGCTCTGCCGAGCGCTCGCCCTGCCGGAGGACGACCCTCTTCGCCGCGTCGCGGAGGCCGACCCACCCACCCGACTGCGGTCTACCACTGGCTGGCGACAACTGGGGCGATCGGCGCTGATCGAGGCGGGCGCCGAGGGAGTGACGGTGGAGCCGCGCCTCGAGGTTCCCCTCCTCCCGTGGACAACCTGCCGCCCGATCGCCTTCAATCTGGACGTGGGACCCGGCGGTCGTCGAGCCTCCTCCAACGAGACGCGACGAGAGGCCGCGCGGCAGCACCTGGCGGCGCTCCCAGCCCAGGCCACGTGGATTTGGTCCGACGGCTCTGCGGACGCTGGGGTCAGGCGAGGAGGAGGCGGCGCCGTCATCTTCACTGCGTCGGGGGAGACTCTCGAGGTGGAGGTGGCGGCGGGAGGCCTCTGCTCCAGCACCCGCGCGGAGCTGTTCGCCCTGAGGGCGGCGCTGGAGCGAGTCCGGGATGAGCCGTCCCCCGCCCCGCTGGTGGCGTGCTCTGACTCACGAGCCGCCCTGAGCCTCCTCAGCGCGGGAGCGGCCGCCCAGACCACCACTATCGGCGCGGCGATCTGGAGGACGCTGCTGGACATTGCCGAGCGCCGGCAGGTGACCCTGCAGTGGGTCCCTGCTCACTGCGGGCTGGCGGAGAACGAGCGCGCTGACGCCCTGGCCAAACAAGCGGCCACCCTGCCCCAGGGCGCCGTGCCCTCGGACGCTCGGTCCCTGACACGAGCAGTTCATCGGACGGCCACACGTCAGTGGCGCGAAAACTGGCCCGACTCCTTTTTTAAGACTATCTTCGGGAGCACCCTGCCGCTCCCCATCCCCGGAGAGGACCGAGAGGCCGCCATCTCGGTGCACCAGTTGAGGGCGGGCCACTGGGGCCGCTCGCTCCAATACCTGCACCGGATCGGCCGCCACCCCTCCGTGGCATGCCTGCAGTGCCCCGATAAGCGGTGCCCCGCGGCGCTCTGCGCCGTGTGCCGGGAGGAGGCGGACGTGCCGGAGCACGTCTTGCTTCTTCTTCTTCTTCTTCTGCATCCCGCCGCCAGCCCGCTCAGGGGGGCGGCGGCGCAGGCGGGTCGAGCGGCGGCTCGGTCCGCCCGACACCCTCGATGAAGTCGACGACCCTCGCCGCCGGGCCGCCGAGGACGTCGACCAGGCGAGGGTCGACACCCCAGCGGCGGCGGCGGGCCGCCTCATAGGCCGGACAATCGGTCAGCAGGTGCGTCACGCTGTCGGGCTCCCCGCACGCGGGGCATTCGTCGTTGGCTGCCAGGCCAATCTTGTAGAGCGTGTCGCGCGTCAGCGGTGATGTGCCGGTCCTCAGCTGGGACAGCGTCACCGACCCCCAGCGCGCCAGGGAGTCGTGGCCAGGCGTGTGGTCCGGGTGCGGGTGGGCAGCGGTTGTCCTCCGTCGCGACAGCTCCCGGACATGGCGCGTGACGGCGGCCCGCGCACTCGATAGGTCAATCGGTGCACTATCTTGGTCGCCCGCCGCGGCCTCGCCAGCCAGGCGGTCGGCGGTCTCGTTGCCGTCCAGCCCGGCATGGCCTGGCACCCACTGGAGCACCGTCTCGGTGCCGTTCTCGGCGAGGGTGTTCAGCAGCCTCCAGACCTCGGCGGCCAGAGCCATGGTCTGGCTAGCTGGGCCGCGGCCGAGTAGTTGTAGCCCAGACCTTGAGTCGGTGAGGAGGCGGACCGACTTGGTTGATGCCAGCTCCCCTTCCTCCAGGCCGGCCACAGCCGCGAGCGCCTCGCGCATGGCGGTCAGCTCTGCTCTCAAGCTGGAGCAGACCGCCCCTGCAGGAGCGCGCACGGTTTCTTCATTGTTGAGGTGGTGAAACTGGATCAGCGCGCCTGCGCCGCCCTGTTCCATCCCGCCGCGAGCCGAGCCGTCCGACCAGATAGTAATATCCGGTTGCGGGAGCTCTGCAATGGCTCGCAGGGCAGCTTCCCTGCGGACTGCAGGCGGGTCCGACCGGCGGGTGGCCACGGGCAGGTCTACCCTGAAGGTGGTGCCGCCGCGGTGGCCCAGCCATGGCGGGTCGCAGCTGTAGAACGCCATGGGCTCCACCGGGAGCTCCTCGATTCCTGCCTCCTCGGCGAGCCACTTGCCGACCCTCCTGAGGCACGGTCGGTGAGGGAGTGCTGCAGTTTCGTCTGGAGGCTTGGGCGGTGGTCTTCCCGCGGTGGTGGCGTCGTTGCATGTTCTTTGCCATGCCTTGTAGGCTCGGTGTTGGAGGCGCGGCTGTACCTCCCTTCGGAAGAGGGACTTGCCCGGGTCGCTCGGGGGCAGACGGATTACACGCTGGTACTCCGTGCCTGCCAGCTGTAGGGCCCGAAGCGAGAGTGTCGGGAGGCCAGCCTCGGCCAGGAGGGCGTCCTTCCGGGTCGCACGTAGGCAGCCGGTGATGACGCGGGCGCACTTGTTTTGCTCGGCTTCGAGGCGTCCTCTTACCGACGGGGCGGCGTATGTCCCGAAGACGGCGGCGCCGTAGTCGAATAGGGCCCGGATATAGCCGATGTAGGCCGCTCTGATGGTTCGGCGGTGGCTTCCCCAGGTCTTTCCGGCCAGTGCCTGTAGGCATCGCCTCCGTCGAGACATCTTGGCTTTCAGGTCGTCGATGTGGTCCGCGAAGGTGAGCTGGGGGTCAAACTTAATGCCCAGGAAGGTCGGGTTGCGGGAGTAGGGCAGCTCCTCTCCGCGCAGCGTCAGGTGCGGCTTGACCTTCCCTCCGCTCTCTCTTGGGTCGAGAGTGAACAGGGTGGCGGTGCACTTCGTCACGCTGGGCATGACTTTCCAGCGTCGCAGCCACGTGTCCACCGCGTCCAGGCAGGGCTGGAGGAGGGCGTCGCACTCTCTGGCAGTGGGGGCGCATGCCAGCAGCGCCACGTCGTCCGCGAACAGGGACCGCGAGACGTGCTCCGGCATTGCTACGTCGATATCATTGACGTAGACCAGCCATAGGAGCGGCGCCAGCACGCTGCCCTGGGGGAGGCCCTCCTGGAAGACCCTGAGGTCTGAGCGGGCAGCGCCCCAGCGGACGCGGGCGCGCCTGTCCGACAGGAAGGCCCTCAGCCACTTGATGAAGCAGCCGGGGACTCCCAGCCGAGCCATCTTGCAGAGCAGGGCGGCCCTCCAGACTCGGTCGTAGGCTCTCGCGAAGTCCAGCAGCACCATGACCGCCCGGTGAGGTTTCTTCTCCTCGAACGCGTCGAATATCTGTTGGGATATTCGGCCGAGCTGGTCCATGGTGGAGCGACCTCTGCGGAAACCGGCTTGGTTGGGGTTGAGCTTCCCTCTCGTCTCGAGCCAGTGTTGCAGCCGGGCCTGGATCATCCGCTCTGCGAGCTTGCTTGTGGTGGAGAGCAGGCTGATCGGGCGATAACTGGACAGCTCTGACGGCGGCTTGCCTTTCTTGGGGATGGCTACGATTTCTGCTGTTCTCCAGCTGGCTGGGACGTCCGCTGCTGTCCAGGACTTGTTGATCAGGGCCAGGAGGAGAGTCTTGCCTGTTGGGCTTATCTGCTTCAGCAGCTCGTTGGGTACGCCGTCCGGTCCCGGGCTCTTCCCGTTCTGGAGCTTGTTCAGGGCTGCGTCGAGTTCGGCGGGTGTGAATGGCGCGCACGGTCCACTGCGTTGGGCGTCGCATGCGCATGCACTCACTGCAGCGCGCGCCTCCAGCTTGATGTCGCGATCCTCATGTTTGTTGTGTGGGATCCGGGATACTGCCGCATATGCCTGGCATAGGGCGTTGGCCTTCTCCCTGTCTGTCACTGCTGGTCGAGCTGGGCGGCCAGGTGGGCCAGCGCGGTTGAGGGGCTCTGCTGGTTTCGCCGGTGGTTTGCGTCCGTCCAGGGTGCGGATGAGGCTCCAGAGGTCGGTGTTGGGCCCCAGTTCCGCGATGCGCTTGCGCAGGAAACTTGTCTTTTCCTCGCGCAGGACCGTGTCCGCGTTCTTCCTTGCTTGTTGGTATTCCCGGACGTCTTCGGCGGTATGGTTTGGCGCGGCCACCTTAGCGCGAGCTTCTTTCCTGATCGCGATTGCTTCGTCGCACGCCTCGCTCCAGAACGGCTCCCTGGTCCTTCCGCCGTTTCCGTGTGGGATGGTGCGGCGCGCGGCGCGGGTGATGGCTGCGGTGAGTCGTTTGTCGAGTTCGCTCGCCGTCAGGTCTCCGTGGTCGTTCCAGCGGCCTGTGATGTCGTCGAAGGTCCTGCGGTACTCCTGCCAGTCTGCCTTCCTCAGGGACAGGCGGCCTCTCCCTCGGCGCTGCGGCTTCGGTGGAGCTACAGGGATGCTCGTCGTGATCGGGAGGTGGTCCGATCCCATCGTCTCGCCGATCTCCCAGGTTGTTCCCCTCGCCACGGCAGCGGTCGCCAGGGTAACATCCGGCGTCGACAGGCCGCCCGTGGCTGGGTTGATGCGCGTGGCCGAGCCGTCGTTCAGGATGGTCAGTGAGGCGTCGATCGACCAGTCCTCGACTTCGTGGCCCATCGCGTCTTCTGGTTGGTGTGGGTCCCATACGTGGGCGTGAGCGTTGAGGTCGCCTGCGATGACGCATCTCGGGGGAAGGGAGATGCGGGCAGGCTGGAACGGTTGAGCTTGGGTGCCTTGCCCTGCCACCCACCTTGCTGGAGGTGAGTACAGGTTGACAACGGTTATTGACGGTGTTCCCTGCGGGTGGAGCTCTGTGGCCGTGATGTAGGTCTCTTCGTCTGGTTCAGTTGGCGCATACCGAGGCGTGGTCCGCGAGTACGGTAGTTGGTCCCGCACTAGGGTCATGACTCCTCCCTTACCCTTCACGCCGCGGGTCCCGTCGCTGCCGGTCGGGGGCTGGGGCTGGGTGGCCGTCTGCCCGGTCCCGCTCGCTGGTGGGGCGCGTGCCGTACACTTCTTACGGCTCTTGCAGCCCGCGCACCAGGAGTTGCGGTCCGACGGGCCGCGGCGCTTGCAGGTCCAGCTCGGTCCAGGCGGTGCTCCCTGCCCACTGTCGGCGGGGCGGGCTGCTCCGGTGGTTGACGGGCTCGGGTTTGCCTGGTGTGGCCTGTCTTGCCTCGCTGCTATGTTGTAGCCTGGGAAGCGTGGGTTTTCATCGCTTTCCAGGAGTCTGGTTTCTTGGAGTAGGATGACGTCGGGTTTCTCGTCTTCAATTCTCTTGTCCAGTTCGGTTTTCCTGGCCTTTAGACTGTTGCAGTTGAACTGCAGGATCTTGAGGAGGCCGCTGATGGCTGTGGGTCCTGTCTGGTTTGGGTTCCGCCCGGTGCGCGGGGTTCCCGGCGCCGGTCTCACAGCCCGCGGAGGAGCGGGCGGTGGCGGCACCGTGACAGGCGCAGGCGGGGCCGGCGGCGCCGACGGCGGCGTCCGAGGCGGCGGCGGCGGCGGCGGCGCGATGCAGCTCGGGCACCACCAGAGGTCGCGTGTGCGCGCGAGTCGGGTAATGTCCGTTGGCCTCAGTCCGGCGCATCGACCATGGTGCCAGAGGGCGCACCCGCCGCAGCGCACCGATGAGCCGCCGACTCCCCGGCCGCATACTCCGCACGGGTAGCGCGGAGGGGGGCCTGGATTCGACTCCACGTCCCCGGCCCGCATCAGTAGCAGGGCGAGGTGGGCCAGCCCTCGTCCCGCCGCCAAAAACCCGCCCGCGCCGGTCCGGCGAGGCAGGCGGTGGTAGTCGTCTTCTTCGAGGGTGTGGATGTGTGTCGGCGAACTTGGCTCCCGAGGGAGACGCCACCCCCACGTGAAGGGGTCGCCGATGGTGGCAGCACGTCTTGCTCCGCTGCCCGGCCCTCGCTGGCGCCCGCCTGCGGCTAACTGGCAGCATTTACGTCGACCCGTCGCGGCTGCGGGACGCCGTCCTGGTGGCTGCCTTGGAGGCCGGCTACCTTCGTCATAGGGAGCCTCTCGGCTATGGTCCTCCGTAAGGAGGGCCCAGGGGGAACAACAACAACAACAACAATCAAAACTAACTTACCACTAGTCAGCCTAACGTCTAACTGAATACCCTCGTACATGACCTGACTCGACCTCTGACCCGCTCCTGTTTCACAGCTATCTCACGCGCTGACGTGGGCCAAGCTGCCGCCAGTACGGGCGCTGGCGTACTTTTCGCGGCAGTACCCTCCGCACCCGATCACGGCCCAGTACGCGGTACGGGTACTCAGCTCGTACCCGTCCGATACGGTGCTGTTCTACATACCGCAGCTGGTGCAGGCCGTCCGCTATGACACGGTTAGTGAAGCAGTGGGGTCTGGGAAGGCACTCGGGGTTATGAGTAGTCACTTAACAGTGCTGTTCTACATACCACACTTGGTGCAAGCTGTCGGCTATGACACGGTTAATGGACGAAAGGGGAGGGGGCGGTGGTCGGATTTTATGGTGAGCTGAGTGTTGTGTTATCGGTGTTCAGCGAATGGGGAGTGTCACGTATTGCGTTATTTTGCTTATTTCTTACGATACTATAGCGGACGTAGCTGGGCTATCATTGTATAGCGTTAGTTAGCTATTTTGGCGCGACTAAAACTGTAAAAGCAGTTCGACTCAGTGGCAAAAAGTTTGCAATGTTCACTGCATTGACCATAGCAGGACATTCAGCGTATCTGTGTGCGTTTCCCCCAGATGGGATTCATCACCGAGTTCATAAAGCGGGCGTGCGCCAAGTCTCAGATCCTGGCGCACCACGTCATCTGGAACATCGAGACCAATAAGTTCCGCGACGAGGAAGGCCTCGTGAAAGACGGTACGTGTGACCGCAGTGGGCAGTGCGGGGAGGTACAGCTCGTAAAACGTAAGATAGAGTGGAGAGTGGCGAGAGGGACGAGCGATATGGTAAGGCCGTGTGAAGCTGGAAAACAGTCACGGGATAAAAAAACATGCAGTGTGTTTTATTAAAGGGACCCTCCCACCTTCAAAAAAGTTTATGAATTGGCATGAAAGTGATGTCGCTCGGTTCAGAAAGAGCGAAAATGAATATCTACCAAATTTCACCGAAAAATATTGACCGGTTTTCAAGATATTAGACTTTTACTTTTGTTTACTTTTTTGGGATCTCCGCTGTTTCTAGCGACTTTATTTTAGAAGTGCGGCGTTTGCGGCAGATGTTGCGCGCAAATAGCATATACCACCGCGTGCTACAAAACGTTTTAGTCAAACATTTAAAAATCGTTAGATATTTGCGCTGACGTCACACATTCAGAGGGGTATTCCTAAGCATTAGCCCCTCTGAATCAAAATGCTGCAATTTTGAAATTCAATATTTCCGATTTAAGGCATTTCTCGATGTTGTGAGTGCCGAAACCGGTAATTGTGAGCCAGGGACCCCATTTTGGCTATCTCAACTCAAATCTAATGTTAAGGTGGGAGGGTCCCTTTAAGCTTTTCTGTCTCAACGAGTTATCGGATGGATACTTTCGTCAAGTGACCAGCACTGCACGACTCCCTTGAACTGATACATTTTCCATCAACTTGTGTGTGTTTTTTTTTTTGCTCTTCTGCTCATTGCCCTTCAAATGATTCATTGCTCCTAATGTTATCTAGTGTTAGCAGTTAAGATGGCCTGACATTGTCCATCAGTTGACCTAACCCGACCTCACGTCCCTCAGCTGATCTGTACGAGCCGTTGGAGAACATCCGAAACGCCATCGTCTCGGCGCTCTCTGGGCCGGCCAAGGCCTTCTACGAGCGAGAGTTCAGCTTCTTCGAGAAGATTACCAACGTGTCGGCTCAGATCAAACCGTTCCCGAAAGGTGAGCAGCAGCGGGAGTTTTCGTTAATTGTGTGCGAACTTGGCTCCGCTCAACAAAGCCTGATGAAGTATTGTCATGACACCTGATTATTTATTTTGTCATGGTAACGTCCAGTTGTCACATGCTGTTCCTTATCTTTAAGTATCCACTATCCGGCCTGTTACACCGTGATAACCTGTGTATTAAACCCCTGGCGTTGTATAATTGTGTGTGACTGTCCCGACTGTGATCCGTCAGGCCCGGCCCGGAAGGAGGCGTGTCTGAAGGAGCTGAGGAAGATCGAGGCGCAGGAGGGCTGCTACCTGCCCCCGATCCCCGACTGCCGAGTGCTGGCCATCGACTATAACAGCGGCACGCCCATGCAGAGGTCAGTAACGTCGGACGAACTGACCGTGTCAGCTAGCAAATGTCGCCTGGGACGGTATTCCGACCCAGCCAACCACTTCTCCCGGGGGACGGCTGTTTTGTACGTCTGGCCATGAGCTCTCCGAGATTTGTTTGGTGGTAGAGTGCTCTACGCCGTCCCGGTGTATGCGTAGGAGTGTCTGCGATGAAAGAAGTAACCACAAAAGTGGCTTTGTTGGCATAATTGATATCTGTATCGTGGCGCAGCATGTCATGGGCTAGCTTGAAACTTTAGTACCATCCTGCAACAGCTGTCCCCAGCGAACGTTTGCATCACCCACCGCTCACCTCCCTCCGTCCATCCCTTGCCTGCAGCGCGGCCAAGGCGCCCTACCTGGCCCGGTTCCGTGTGGAGCGATGTGGAATCAACGAGCTGGAGCAGCAGGTCATGCACGTGCTGGACGGGCCCGATGACGCGGCCGAAGAGAGACGACCCTCCATGGGCGTCGAGAAGTGGCAGGCCGCCATCTTCAAGGTAGGAGAGAGAGGGAAGGGTGGGGGAGGAGGTGATATTGAGAAGAGACTGGTGATACGACTCTGGAAGAAGGAATGGTGCTGAACTTAAGTTTGGTCGTCCGTCGCTGTGTTTGGCAAGTTAATATGGTGACGCAGCGATAACCGCGGGTTGTTTGACATAGACAAACACTATTCGTTAGAATTGTGTTTTTCTATTGAAAAATAACCGGAGCAGTCCTCACTGGGGTGTTTCCCATAGTTGGCAGCGAATCGAGACATCCTGACAGGGCCTAAGCGTTGGCTCCGTTTTTCGTAAAAAGTTCAGTATGGAGGACTGATTGACGCGAGGGCTTTTTGCATTGTGTGCTTCCCTGCATGTCTCGCTGCCATGTTTCGCATGATTGTAACTTGTAATTATCCGGTCCTGTAAGACTGAAACGTAAAGACTGTAGACCAAAACGAAAGTGAGGCTTAAATTTTGTCACTTGGAACGTGAAACTTTATGAGAATGAAGCTGTGAGGGTGCGCTCTCAAGTCTCATGATACAGCTGTATGTACATCATAGCAGCCGTCGCTCTGACGCCCTCCAAAGTATCCTTCCCGCCACGTGTCTCTGAACACGCTGTTACTGCACCCCGGTTATCTCCTGGACAGGTGGGAGACGACGTGCGTCAGGACATGCTGGCGCTTCAGGTGATCGAGCTGTTTCAGAACATCTTCAAGCAGGCCGGCCTGGACCTGTTCCTCTACCCGTACAGGGTGGTGGCTACATCTCCCGGAGTGAGTGACAGGTGGCCCCAACCGGCGCGAGGTAGCTCCACGTTTCACTCAACGACCTTGGAATGGGGATGGATTGGAAACGGTAGTTCGGTTATCATTTGAGCCTGCTTTTTTGAAGGTAGTCATTGAGGATATCTTTCGCTTTATTTTGTTATTAGTTTGGATTTGAAATGCATTTTCTGGGGTAGAATCTTCAGCTCAGTTATATTGAAAGTGATGTCTAGTGTTTTTCGGCTTTGTGGCCGTAGGATTTGTCGTGACTCTAACGTAGTTTCTCATATGAATCTGTCGATTGGCTTACCGCTGTTGTCCCAACCTGACCGCTTTCAGCTCCTAGCGCAGCGTGTGTCGTGGTAACGAACCACATGCGGCGTCTGTTTCCAGTCGGGCGTCATCCAGTGTGTACCAAAGGCCAAGTCACGCAGTGACCTCGGCAAGGAGACGGACTTTGGTCTGTTTGAGTACTTCCTCACCACCTACGGACACGCGTCCAGCGCCAAATTCCAGGTGAGTCTCACTTGACATTACTTAGAACGTCACAATATTCTGCTAGATATTTAGTAATTAAAATGTACATACCATGTTTGTAATGTATCGATAAGGTATCACATGTGCAGTGCGCATTTTGTGTACAGTATTGTAGTTGCTGTTTAGTTTTTTTTCGTTACTAATATCTGCGTCTTCCTTACCCTCATAACACGCGCTTACATTATGTCCAACCTCCGGCAGGACGCCCGCCGCAACTTTGTCAAGTCGATGGCGGCCTACTCGCTGGCACTCTTCCTGCTGCAGATCAAGGACAGGCACAACGGCAACATCATGCTGGACGAGGACGGCCACATCGTACACATCGGTAGGTTAAGTTTCACAAAGACCAGAAATGCCGAGGTGTTCGGCCTTGTAAGGACCCATTGACAGAGTCACGAAGGCGCGGTAGTAGACAGTTTTCTCTGTTCCCCTGCGTTTTATAATCATAACGTGATCTTCTAATGTCGTGACATGGGCGCCGATGACCACTGTAGTCCGGGCGCCCAAAAACCCCAATTCATCATCATCATCGACAGTTTTCTGAAATCAAGCGGAAGTTTATTGTGATTTGCGTTTTAATGTGATTATGAATTACGAACGGTGGTGGCAGTGGTCTCGCCATTTGTAAAGACTAGGAGCTTACTGGCGCACTAATCTGTAGCCAGCACCCTCACCACACCCTCCTGCCTTGCGCAGATTTCGGCTTCATGTTCGAGTCGTCTCCGGGCGGCAACATCGGCTTCGAGCCGGACATCAAGCTCACTGCCGAGATGGTGATGGTGATGGGGGGCCGGGTGGACGCCGAGCCGTTCAAGTGGTTCATGGAGCTGTGCGTCCAGGGGTACCTGGCAGTCAGGTGAGCTGGCCAGATCAGCTGGGGGATCTTACACCTAGACGCGCTTAGGGGGGCGAGCGATCTGCTATCTTAGACTCAAAATCTCTTCAGGTGTGTCTTATAGCGGTCAGGGTGAGTGAGTCGCGCAGAATTGAACCGTGCACACTTTAGGGGAGCGTGTAGCTAACCGTGCTGGTAACTCAACGAGTGGGAGGTCCCTTTAACCCGGTCCAGTCCGGTCTTGTGCACCAATGGTGTTCACCCAGAGCTAGTATCTGATAGCCAGCTCGTCAAGCTAGGCTCACCAGTCGCATCATTAGTTGTATCCATTTCTACACCTTTTGTCAGTTTATTTCGGTACGTGCGCGTCCATTTTAGACCTAGCGGATTCTTTGTAGACATACCGCAAGGCTATGTATCAGTATAGCATTGCATGTCGGCCGTTTATAGCGGTGCTCGGCATTAGAGCATTTAATTTCGGCGCAGCAGCAAAAGACGCCCGGTTTCGGCGTGTCCGCATTGTATTTCGGCGATGCTGTTGGAGATTGGAGACGGCCGCACGATATTCAGAACAGCAGCAACCAAATTCGGCGATATTCATTCAATTTCGGTGGCTATTTGGAAGCAAGCAGAGACTTCTTGCTTACAAAATTAGCTTGTTGGAGCATTGTTATTCAGTCAAACGTTTTTCAAGGTGTTTACTGTTGCCACTGTCTCATTGTCTGGACTTGAGTGCATGCCTCCAGCCCTCCACCCTCTCCGTTATGGCCGAATATTCCTTTCGCCATCGCCAGCGATGAGCATGATTTCATGTCCGTGCTTTCTGTGGGTTAAACAAAGCATTACAATGTGCCTATTAATTTCTATCAAGGAAGTACAAATAACATAAGTTTATAGGCACCTGCTTAAAACGAAGCTGGCGGAGAACAAAACCAGGCCGACGGGGTACGCGACTACTGAACTTTGACCCCGCCCATGCGCCAGAGACGCCCGTCGCCCGGTGTCGTCGCGCGGTTGTTGAAAGGATGCGCCGAGCGCCGGATGGACAGTCAGATGCTCAGGGAGGGGGGGGGGGGGAGAAAAATACACCTGCCGCAACTACGAGTCTTGTCCATGGGACGGGTTAGAATGTTGGCGCTAAGCCTCTGGGTCTGGTGGGGTGAGGGGAGGCGTGATGATACGATACGGAATGATTAATTTATTTTCGTGTCCTTCTGCACACAGTAGGTAAGGGATGTTTGATATTTCACGCTGGCAGTTGATTAATAGGAGATGATTACAGGAAGTGCAACGATAACCGATTGGTAGGACTTATTCTGGTATGGCTGAGCTAATTGTGTTATGTTTGATTGACGAGGTGATGGGTTGCTTTCAAAGTGAAGTAAAATAACAGGTCTTTTGATAAAATGGGTTCATGTTTTGGGCAAATACTTGGCACACAGTGACAACAGCACAGACGTGCTTCAATGAAAGAGAATCGGGGCTTGCCTCGAGTCCAACAACGATTGGCGTTTGCCTTGTCGATCGTCGTCCGCCATGTGCGGACAGGAGCGGGTACTGTAATACAAAAAAGAAACCAGCCCACCACAGATGTTATCTTTTTAGGATAAATAGTGCTAATTCAGTAAAGTTTATCAATTTTCACATCAGAATTCGAAACGGGAAACAGCGAAACGATCTTAGGTAGGTACTGTGACGCTAAACAAACAATGGCCTGCTTTTCTCCCCCTGAGAATATCTCAAAGCCACAAAGCTGTACGAGGATTCATTTGATGCTCAAGAAGCGTTCCTGAAAATATGAATCACCTGGGTGCCTCCGGTTACCCGCCGAAATTGAATGAACAGTGCCGAATTTGGTTGTTACTGTTGCTAAATAGCGTGCGCTACCTCTAAACCTGTGCTGGCGCAGCCGATTCTACTTGCGTTATCGCTGAAAATGGAGCGTTTTGCCGCTGTGCCGAAATTGAATGCTTTACCGCCGACTGCCTGACCTGCGCCGAGATATTATGTGATTCTTGTACATAATATTGCGGTGTGTCTACACACATTTCGTTAGTTCTAAAATGGACGATTACGCCCCGAAATAAACTGACAAAAGGTGTAGTTCATAGTAACCGTCGGGTAGACTGAATTCAGTGCTGCCACACCATGATACCATTGATTTTTTGTTGCTGTTTTTTCTATTTGCTGATGATTATGATTTCATGTGGTGATAGATAAGAACGAGTAATTCCTGCTGGTTCTTGGCCTGGTTAGCTCCCTGGCTGATTGTCACCGCCACCCTTCGTTGTTTCAGGCCATACTGTGAGGCCATCATCTCCCTGGTATCGCTGATGCTCGACACTGGACTGCCCTGTTTCCGCGGACAAACCATCAAACTGCTGCGAGCCAGGTAGGAGGGAGAGCAGGACAGGGTGGACAGGTGAGGTGGGGTCACGGTGGATACAGCGCTGCCCTGGTGCCGCGGACAGATCATCAAACTACTGAAGGCCAGGTAGGAAGAGAGGGGAAGATAGGGCAGCAGAGCGCACAGAACGCTGGGGTGGGGTGTAAATCAGAGCATCCCGGTCAACACGGCCCTTATTCAGTGCAGTGGGTCGCACCCAACTCGCCCTCCTAACCCTCTCATCTGCTGCAGGTTCGCGACCTCCTCCAGCGAGCGGGAGGCGGCCGCCTACATGACCAAGGTCATCAACAACTCGTGTCTGAGCTTCCGCAGTCGCACCTACGACATGCTGCAGTACTACCAGAACCAGATCCCCTACTGAGCGACTTCCGTCGGGCGCCCTCCGCTCCCAACAGACGGGCCCGTGAAGGGACCATTTCGGAGCTCTCCGACATACCGACGAACCCCGCGAGCGAAATCGATCCAAGCCGACACCATTTATCACTCACCACGGGCAGATGCCTGTGTTCTGTGTGGGATGTATGCGATCATTGCTTTACTTTCTGTAGAGCTGTCGAACACTCGGTCTCGTCCAGCTATCGCAGCTAGCGTCGTAGCATCTTCTTGGTGGCTAAGGTTGTGCAAGCTGCGGTGCTGTATAGCGGTGTTTGAAACTGCACTCCATTTGGCGACGCATGCATCGATTTTTTGCGGCATGGGTTCCGCGGAAGGACGCCAAGCTGAGCCAGTTTGCAGGAACCCTATCTATGTGTCCGGAGTGTGCTGTGCTTCACTAGCGGTACCTGTAGGCATACATGTTTATGAGAGCTGTTATGTTGTTGGCTGTTGTTGGTGTTACCTGAGAAAGAGCTAGATTGTCCGTTTGTGTGCGGGGCTGGAACCCAGTATGTAACACCCTGTGGGCTCCGCGGTGTCGGGCACGGGTGGTCATTGGTTAGCACTGTGAGCTTGGAGTAAGGAAATGTCTGGTGACACCCAGTCGTGCGCTCTGGTTGGGTTGGGCGTCGCGGTATGATTATTATTTCCGCTCTACGTGCCGTGACACGCTACACCGGACGCAGACAACAGAGAGCCCACGGTCGTCTAGTCGTGGTGAGAGGCTTGTGGGGACGTGTGATGTGATCTTATCGGTGATATCGGTCTACATCTATTATCTGTTACTTCAGATAGCCATATTTAGTCTCGCAAATATTTGTGAGTGATATGCCGGTAGCTTCTTAGAGAAAAGTCGAGGCATAAAAGCAGAGGAGTGACAATATCAGGGTGCAGTCCACGTAAGATTGATTTGTAACTTGCACCTAATTGTCAGTTCCCAACCGAGGCGAAATATGTTACTTCGAAGTTACGTTTTGATTTTTGGACGGTGCTAGGAAACCTGTGGAGTGTGGGGTGGGGATATGAGCCATGTTTGTTACCTACCGATGCGGGGTAGAATGTATCCCAATGATACGATTTATTACTCGTGATCATATAACATCGATCATTCCCGTGATCAGTCTACAGTCAAATAACTGGAGTAATTGTTGTCGCGATGTTGTAGACCATGTTATTCGTGTGTCGATACTCTATATCCCGCTGCGTGTTTAGTGTGAAGTAATTTTGTGCAGTGTCACTATCACGAATATATCGAAAAATAAACCGACTGCATGAGCTACTTGCTGGATGCAAGGACGCACACAGGGGGGGGGGGGGGGGCACACGGGCCCGTGTCCCCTCCCCTCCCATTCGGAAGGCCGCCTTTGGGGGGCCCAGTTTGCAGATCGTGCCACCCCCATAAAAAAAAAAATCATGTGTGCCGCGCGCCTGGCTGGATGCAACTAAGCCGGACTCCAAGATGCGTTTTCGCTTATTTTAGCGCACTTAAGCTGAAAAGGGCTGAACCTTGTAGGCATCTTGTCACCTTGTGAATACTTGGGTCCCCGGAATCCGATGGGGAGGGGAGGGGCACATGCGCTCTGCCCCTGGCTACGCCACTGGGTGGCGGGTGCAGATAGAGAATGCAATTGGCGGTGCGAGACACCATTGCAATCGTTCGTCCTCCCTTCGGAAGGTCGCCCATCCGACCCATGATTTTCAAGTTCAACCCTGGGGTGGGACCCAGGTCCGCAATGTGCCGACAAGGAAATTGGCTACAGGTTGTTGTAGTTACGTTTACGGTTTAGTATGTAATATTTAATAACCAACAACGACATAAGCGTAACTTTATATCTCTTTGTGGGTGCTCAAGCACCCCCAATCCTGAGCTCAGCACCCCCTGCCTCCCTAAAGCACCCCCTGCCTCCTTAAAGCACCCCCAGCCTCATCAAAACATTCCCAGCTGACTCAAGGCCCTCAATAATCAGTATTTTCTTCTCCAGTATTCTCCAGTAACAATAATTTTCTTCTGTAATGAGCTCAGTGAATCATGCAAATACTATGCTTACTCAATTCAGTGACTAAGAGAATATACATTGAACAAATTACCACAAATTAAGATGCATGATATTTGTGTTTACATTACATCTGATATTATGGTGCTTGGGACTAAGTAAGATCTCCAATCTAACATAAATGAAGGTTGGCAAACAATGTCAATGGCTGTAAAATTTATCGACATTCACAACACCATACTTAGTTCCTCTGTTTGGGTAAACCATACAAGCATGTATAAGCAGCCGCCAGCCTAACAATATCCAATTTTCTGTAATATTCTAAAAGTTCAGTACAACACAACCTGGGTCAATGAATCAAGTGGGACATGATGACAGAGAGATCCCATAGCTGCCCAGTGTTTGGGCGTACTGGAAAGCCTCACGCCGGAAGGACGTGGAAGGGTGGTAAAAGTCCACCGACGGACCTTGTGCCAAAAATTGATTGCACAACCGAGGAATATGCACAGAAAGACAGTTCTTTACGGTGTTCACTCTCCCGAAGGGCCCATGAAACAAGCCCGTGCGGCGGTTACGCCTCCCATGCACATTAACCCTCGCCGGCACAGGCCAATTTGCGTCCTTCGACGGCACAAGGGGGGGGGGTACGACCCCCCCTCGCGTTTGGCCCCTGATCGAGCTAGAGCTTCGAGGAAAAAACGAGCGTGCTGCCCGTCATGAGAGGAAGCCGATGATATCCAATTTTAAGGTCCTAGATCATCGGCCGACCTTTCAGGTCAGGTCAATGACCCAAAAGTCGGGAAAATCGGGACCTGTTAGAAAGTCGTAAAGTGTGGCTGCTATGGGGTTTTCTGGGGTGCTGATCACGAATATCGTGTTAGTTTTGATCAAAGATGATGTCTTTAAGCATGTAGACCAGGTCGGGTCAGGTCAGGTCAGGTCAACCGGTAGGGGTCGTGACGGGTATTCGTAGAACGTGTCAACCGCCTCTGACAGCTTCGGTAGCATTTTACGAAGGCACCAAAACTACTTCGTAAATGTTGAAATGGTTGATAAATTCGAGTTCAGCTAAAAAAAAAAAAACTAGCCTAGAAACATGTAAAACTCGAAAAAGTGAATCGAGGTCACCAAAGGTCAGTGACCTGACCTGACCATCAGGTGACCTTGACATCCACCATGCATGGGAGCAACATCAGATCACATGTTTGAACGTTTGAGACCACGAAAAGCTTGCAAACGCGCGGCTAATGCGAGCCGACATACGCCGAACCGCGATTCCGGCCAAACATGGTCTCGGAATGTAGGTCACAGGTCAAAGGTCATTTGGCTCAGGGTCATGAAATTTTAAGGATTGGTGTAAAATTGATCAATGCGAAGGTACTTAAAGTTTCGTCGCGATCGGCCGCTTTTTACGCGGGTTATTCGCGAAAAACCGAGGGGGGAAGGTCGCATCAACCCTCCCCCCGTGCTGGCGAGGGTTAAGGCCAAACATCGATACCACCTAAGCGCAGTCGGTACGGTGGTGAAGGAGTTGGTACAAGAACATGACATCGGTATGAATGAGGCGGGCTTTGATGGACTCAGTTTTAAAGGTTTGCAGTAGACTACGATAGTCCATGACAGCTTCTTAGCGTTTTAGCCCCTAGCCACATGAGAAAGCAGTGCTGTAGCCGCTCCAGCCGTACCAGGTGGGACTGGGCTGCACCGCTACAAATGACACTTCCGTGTTGGAGGACGGACCTAACATGAGCATTGAACGCGCATAGTATCGCCCTGTGCTCGAGACGCGCTGGAGGTGGACAAGCTGGCATCTCCATGCTCCTCATTTGGAGCCCCAGCATCCGGCAGCATATCTATGACTTTCGTTTATTGAAATCAATGTGCTATTTTTAAACATTTTTAATCAAGTTAAATCATTTTTGAGTAAATAAATGTAAATATAGCACGGCAAATATAGCGTTATTATTTAACCCTCGCCGGCACAGGAGTGGGGGGGGGGGGTTGATGCAACCCCCCTAAGGTTTTTTCGCGAATAACTCGCGTAAAAAGCGGCCGATCGCGACGAAACTTTCAGTACCCTCGCATTGATCAATTTTACACCTACTCTAAAAATTTCATGACCCTGACCGAAATGACCTTTGACCTGTAACCTACTTTCCGAGACCATGTTTGGCCGGAATCGCGATTCGGCGTATGCCGGCTAGCCTTAGCCGCGCTTTTGCAAGTTTTTCGTGGTTTCAAACGTTCAAACATGTGATTTGATGTTGCTCCCATGCATTAGGGTGGATGTCAAGGTCACCTGAAGATCAGGTCAGGTCATTTACCTTTGGTGACCTCGGTTCACTTTTTCGAGTTTTACATGTTTCTAGGCCAGTTTTTGGAGCTGAATTCGAATTTAGCAACCATATGAACATTTACGAAGTAGTTTTGGTGCCTTCGTAACATGTTACGAAGCTGTCAGAGGCGGTTGACACGTACTACAAATATCCGTCACGGCCCCTACCGGTAGACCTGACCTGACCTGACCCGACCTGGTCTAAATGCTTAAAGACATCATCTGTGATCAAAATTAACACGATATTCGTGATCAGCACCCCGGAAACCCCATAGCAGCCACAGTTTACGACTTTCCAACAGGTCACGATTTCCCCGATTTTTGGGTCACTGACCTGACCTGGAAGGTCAACCGATGACCTAGGACCTTAAAATTGGGTATCATCGGCTTTCTCTCGTGACGGGCAACACGCTCGTTTTTTTTTCCGCGAAGCTCTAGCTCGATTAGAGGTCAAACGCGAGGGGGGTCTTACCAACCCCCCCCCCTCCCTTGTGCCATCGAAGGACGCAAAATGGCCTGTGCCGGCGAGGTTTAAGTTCCAGGAACAAAATGCAATATTTCACGAGAACCATGTCCGGAGAGTACCTAACCATCGAGCCTGTCCCGTCAGGCGTCATGTTGGATAGCCCTCAATATATGCTCATTCGTGCAGAGCTATGCAGACCAGGCTGCCTAAGCACGGACCTACCAAAAGTCCGGTAGGGCCTGAATTTAAAATTTTAAACCCAGCGCATAGACCCGGGAACAGGGGGGGGGGGCAGCGGGGGCGCTTGCCCCCCCCCCCCCCCAACTTGAGAGCCGAGGGGGCGGTGCCCCCTCAACTTTGAGGCAGCGAGAAAGGATCTTTCCTCCCTTTTCCGGGCTTCTTTCCTTCTTGATTCCTTTATACATCTAAACATCAACTGCCATCCTGAATGGTTTCTGCTGATACAGTATCGATTTGACAACATCTGCTATGGTCATCCCTCTTGGGTTTGGCCCTGACCTTGGCCATAAGTTTGGCAGGCCAGATTTTATACTGGACCATTTTGAAACAACTTTGAGAAATACATAACGTACAACGGTGGTAAAATCGTTGCTATAGGTATAACACAGTTAACCCGCTCCGGGTGTGAGGGAGAGGTGTGGGGCAATGAGTGCATGTGACGTGACGCCCTCGGAAGGCCGGTATGGGATTAAAGCTCAGCGACACTAAGGGCTTGTGTGGTGCCTTCGGTTATCGGTAGCACCCTCAGAATCACCGGGGTAGGGCCCTCAGAGCCGCCGGTAAGGGGCCTTTAGAGACACTGGTGTGGGGCCGTCATGCAGGTGCCAGTGTGGGCGCTCAGAGCTGCTAGTGTGATTCTCTCAGAGGCACCGGTGAGGGTCCTTTATACAGGCGTTGCTGTGGGCCCTCATAGATGCTGGTGTGGAGCCGTTACAGACGGGTGTGGGGCCTTAAGAGCTGCTGACGCGAACCCTCTACCAGCCTGCAGGGGTTCTCAGTGACCGGCAAGGGGACCTTAGACCGGCAGAAGAAGTCCTGTGGGGTCCTTAGAGACCAGCATAGTACTGTCAGACACCGGTGGGGCCCTCAGAGTCACTGGTGTGGGGTCCTCAAAAGTCACCAGTGGGCATGGTCTTTAGATGCGCAGGTGTTGGCCAATGGCCTGGGTCCTCAGAGCCGCTGATATAGGGTTTATAGGCACCGGTGTAGGCACTCAGAGTTGGGGGTGTTAAACCCTCAGAGACACCGGTGTGGGCCCTCAAAGGCACCGATGAGCGAAGGCCCCCACAGTTGCCGTTATGGGACCCTCAGAAAAATAAGTGTGGGACCATCACAGGCGGCAAATGCCCCTAGAAGTGGCACTTCATAGGCCGATAAGAACTCCCAGAGGCCAGTCCCGGGCCTTTAGAGACCACCGAGGGGCCCTTAAAAGCCGTAAGAGGCCCTCAGATGCCGGCGTGGGGCCCTTATGGAGATCTTAGTGTGGCTATTTAGGGCCCCACGAGGTGCTCTAACAATCCCCATGGGGCCCTTCTGAGTCGAAATATGGCCATCCATAGACCTCTGTAAACATAGGCCATCCATAGACCTCTGTTTACAGAGGTCTATGGGCCATCGTTAACCCTCACCGGTTAAATGGCGCCGCAGGGCCCCTGGAACCCGAGGGTCCCTTTGAACCCGATGGGGGGGGGGGGGTACGTGTCACCTTAGGCCCCTAGCTACGCCACTGTTTCATATGCAGCATGTCAGGTATTTTGGGCTCGCCGCCCCAACTTGAAAATCGTTCCCGGGCCCCTGACCCAGCGTGTTCTGAAATATGTTCAAAAACTTCCGTGGTTATGAATGCATTGGGTGAGCCAAAATTGTTTTACAGTGGCGCTATTAAAACAAGCTCTCGAATCGATTTAACATCATTTCTTGCATGATGCCTGATACAGTAAAAAAGAACAGCTGAAAAAAAGTCCTACGAAAAATATGGCATGCCTTTCTGAAAGCTATTGAGCACCCCCAATGATTTTTGTTGTTGTTGTTGTTCTGGGTTAGGGCGCGTAGCAGCTTGGCTCTTGCGTCCAACCAATGATTTTTGGAAAACTACACCCATGAACAACGATATTGTGCCCAAGGCTATATAAACCAGGTAGAACGCTCCCGAAGAAAAAGTGGTGACAAGCAATATTTAGTTGCCGCGACCCTCACTTGTTCAAGACTATATCCGCAAGCAGCATTTACAAGCTAGCGGAAATCGACCAATCGGCGTTCGGCAATACTCAACGCTGATTGGCCCGATGCTCGTGACGAAATTGCGGGGGACTGCAGCTATTCCCCTATGGCGTTTCATTGACTTATGACTTTTGAAGGGGATTTGTATCAGTTTTTGTTGGGTTTGAGGCCATTTTTGAGCTTGGATATTCTTTCCGTGACCTTTGACTATATAATAACGACATTTTATCATGACATTTCTATATACTACCGGTGTCACATCGGCCAAAAAGACCGTAAGTACATGGGATAGACGGACCACTGCTAATGGGGCCACACATGCCGGCGTGTGGTCATCGGAGGCCCATGAGGGCTCGACATGGGCCCTTTATGGGTCGGTATAGGCCCATTGGGTCCAGTGCAGGCCTACCAGGGACCAGTGGTATATAATGTAAGGCTGTCTAGGGACGTTGAGGGCTCATGGGGGCCATATAGGACCATTAGGGACCACATAAGCCAATCAGGGGTCCATTTAGGCCAATAAAGGCGCTTCTGGGACTTGAAGAGGCCATTCAAGAGCCGTGGTGGGCCCATGAGGGGACGGCATTGGTCCATCAGGTGCAGTCAGGGGATGTTGTACGGGTTTCTCAGTGGCCCATTTGGGCATATCAGTGACCAATTTAGACCCAGCAGGGGGCTTTGTAGACCTATCAGGGGCTGGTGATGGTTTATCGGGGGCCAGCGTTAGTCCATCGGGGCACGGCATATGCCCATCAGAGGTGATTGCGGGCCCACGCTGAACAATGATGGCCCTTCAACAGCCCCTAATGGATCTAGATTGACCCATGTTCCATGATGTGTCATGTATGCCCCTATGGCAGGCCTACTCAGACCCCTGATGGATGTTCCCGGCCTCTGATGACCCTATACTGAATCCTGGTGGGGCTCTAAGAGTCTCCAATAACCCTTCGTCAGCCCATTATTACCATACGCTGTCACTAGAGGCCCCACATCAGCCGCAGGGCAGTCCGTGCCAAGACAGCATGTCTTTTCGGCCGATATTACATCGGTAATATTAATCAAAATCATGATTTTATGGTGTCATTATATAGCTAACAGTCATAAGAAATATATTTCAGCTCGAAAACAGCTCGAAACAGCATATAATCTTAAAGAAACCCCTCCGAAATCCAAAAGCCTATTCGGGTCCATAGAGAATAACTGCGGTCCCCCGCAATTTCGTCACGAGCGTCGGGCCAATCAGCGTCGAGCACTGCCGAGCGCTGATTGGTGGATTTTCCGCTAGCGCGTGAGTGCTGCTCGCGGAACAAGAGTTCGTCGACAATCCTCCACAAACGTCTGTCACCACTTTTCGTAATGCTAAACAGCCGGAGCGTACCCCCCTGATTGTGCCACACGTACCCGATGCTCGCACAGCTTTGGTCAGACGCCGCGTAGTCCACCAGTGACGTCACCCGGTCCATCGGATATTGTGGGATTATTCTAGCTCTATATTATACGGCCTTGAGCGGAAGTGCTTATTTACTGTAGTCGTACCCCGCGTTCAATGTCTCGCGGACGACGGAGATTCTACGCCGTCCGGCCAATCCCGTTCAAGGTCAGCGGGGGCTCGGCTGCGGTTATGGAACGTGATTGGCCGGACGACGAAGAATCTTCGTCGTCAGAGAGACATCGAACGCGGGAGTAGTCTTGAGCGGAAGTGGATGGCCGGTGCGTGAAAACCACGTGGGCGGCATTTTATGCAAGACAAGATTCTATGCAAGATACCCATGAGGTTTTATGTGTGCAGACAAGGTACGCGTTGCACGTCGGATGTGCGTGGCTACGAGCCTTTACGCTTTACCATGGATTATTTATATACACTTTGGTTTAGATGACTGTTTTGTTCTCTATACTGATAATGATACTGATACACAATGGCAGCTTAAAAATGGGTTTGGGAATCTCAGATTTTGGTGTGTGATAGTCCTGGGCACTGATGGGCGGCCGGCTAGCACTCTTGCCGGTGCTCACGTACTGGTTGTCCAGCTGCAACAGGCTATTAACCAATGAGAAGCGAGGAAAGTGCAACGTCTGATTTTTTCATATAGGTACCTCTGCCCTCCATAGCACGTTTCTCATTGGTCATTAGCCTGTTGCCAGGGCAACGTGCGTGTATGTGTGTGTGGGCTAGCGCGCTAGCCGGCCACTGAACAGCGCTCAGGCCTTTAAAAATTAGAGGTACTTATTTTTTTAGTCTTCAATGCTTAAGGCCATAAATAGGAATATGCCATGACTTTTTCAGTGCTGCTGAGTGCTAGATTAATGCAAAAATGTCCTTGATAGAAGATGGGCATTTCCTATAATGATCAGGTCTCAGGATCCTTATCCATGGACCACGAATACCATATTGTGTCCTACGGATGTCTGGGTGCCTGTTCCAGTGGCGGCGGAATAGGGGGTGCAGGGGGTGCAGCTGCACCCCCATCGAAAAACATGGGGGTGCAAACATATCTTTTTGCACCCCCAAAATCCGTACAAGGGGCCCGTCGCACCATCCAATACATTTTCTCCTGAAAACCAGTGATCGGGAAACGAACACTGATGTGGAATCACCCGGGATGTCCAATTATGGTCAGGAGCGCCCCATGCTAGTCTTTGGGGCCACCACACCGGCTAGAAGTATCCCGAGCCGCGTTTGGTGCCCCACGCGGCATCTGAGGGCCCCCACGACGACCTCAGAGGGCCCTTTTATGACGATCTCTGAGGGCTCCCACGGCGACCTTTGTCCTCTGGGGCCCTATAACGGCCACTAAGGGCCCTCATGACGACCGCCGAGAGTCCCACAGAGACTCCAGGGCCCCAAGGAGACTCCAGGGGCCACGCTGGCCTCTGAGGGACCCTATGACGGCCTCTGAGGGCCCTTACGATGATCTCTGAGGGCTCTCACGACGAACTCTGTCCCCTGGGGCCCTATAACGACCACTAAGGGCCCTCATGACCTTTGTCGACCAGAGGACGACCTTTGTCCTCTGGGGACCTACAACGGCCACTAAGGGCCCTCATGACGACCGCCGAGAGTCCCACAGAGACTCCAGGGCCCAAGGAGACTCCAGGGGCCACGCTGGCCTCTGAGGGACCCTATGACGGCCTCTGAGGGCCCTTACGATGATCTCTGAGGGCTCTCACGACGAACTCTGTCCCCTGGGGCCCTATAACGACCACTAAGGGCCCTCATGACGACCGCTGAGGCCTGAGGGTCCCACAGGACTCCAGGGGCCCCACTGGCCTCTGAGGGCCTCTACGACGGTCTCTGAGGGCCCTCGTGACGGCCCTAGACCCAACTCAAGTCTGAGGGCCCATCTGGCTTCAGACGGCCCAGCGACGGCCTCTGAGGGCCCAACACAACCAGCCTGCAGGGGCTATGCTGGCATCTGAGGGCCCTGCAACGGCCTATTGAGGGCCCTAACAACGATGGCCTCTAGCGGTCTTACCAAGGCCTCTTGAGAGCCCTGCAAAGGTATCTGAGGGCCCATGAAGACCATCAATATGGCCAAGGACCCTCATGAGTCATGACGACCTCTGATGATCCTCTCGAAGGCTTCTAAGGGCCCTCACAACAACTTCTGAGGACCCCAAGACGGTTCCTGAGGGGCTGAGGGCCCTGACAACGACCTCTCTGGGCCCTCACGATGGTCTCTAAGACCCAACGCAAGCTCCAAAGGCCCACACTGGCGTCTGAGGGCCCCATGACGGCCTCTGAGGGCCTCGACGCAGGCAGGCTCCAGGGGCCATGCTGACCTCTGAGGGCCCTCTTGACGGCTTCTAGGGCCTAACGAAGGCTTCAAGGGCCAACGCTGGCCTCTGAAGAACCCTACAACGGCCTCGGAGGGTCTCAACTCAACGCAGGCAGGTGCCAGGAGACATGCTGGCCTCTGAGGGTCCCGCTTAGTTCAGATTCAGAGGATCCAACGACCTTTGTGGACCTTACGAAATACGAAGGTCTCCGAGAGCTCACGCAGGCTCCTGGAATTCCACACTGATTCTCAGGCCCCATGTCGGCTTGTTGAGGCACTTTATCTGCTCTTGGTGCCCCGTCGCCGGCCTCTGAGAGTCTCAATGTCGGAACTTATGGGGTCATGGACCCTACACCGGCTTTTATGGCCCCTACATCGACTCTTGGGACTCATGACCCATGAAATGTGGGTCTAAGCGGCTTCTAAGAATGCCCATGCTGGTTCTAGTAGCCGCCAGCCGAATATTAGGGCTCACACGCGAGCTCCTGGGACCCCTTGCATACCCCAGGGGTCTACCTGCCTCTAAGACCCCACACATACTTTTGGGGCTCAAACGCTTGCCCCTGAAGGCCCCACTGAGACCCCTTTCCTCTATTCAGTCCTCCATACCGGCTCTTTCGGCTAAACATCGGCTCCTGTGGCCTCCATCCCGGCTTTGGAGGGCCTCCATACAGGCTTTTTGGGGTCCGATGCCGGTTTCTGAGAGCCCTCAAAAGACTTTCGAGCCTATACTGCCTTCTGAAACCTTTCAGCAGCTTTCAATGGACCGACCCTGATCGGAGGGCTCATTCAGTCTGGGTAGTCATGTAGGTCTCTGGAGGAGTCTCTATGTGGTCGGTTTCCAAGGGGCTTCTAAACACGGTCTTCTTGGAACTGTCTCGTAAGGCCCTCAATGGTCCACTGCGGATCCAGAAAAGTGGTTTGAGACGCTGTGGATGGTGGCTAGACTAAAAGATTAGCCGATAGAAAACTAGCTGCATTTGCTTCTTTATGCTTTCATTATTTGAGATAGGTATGTCGCCACGTGTCCTCTGGTATTTCACACGCCAACGACACTTATTTAGCCGGATGATAGACAAGGACTGTAGGAGAGCGATGGGTAGATCAGGATGGTGAGGAAGACGCCAGCCGCTGCCCGATTCCAGCCTCTCGATGGCGAGACCACTGTAATCGGACAGATCAACCGATACTCCGGCGCCTCGATGGCAAGGTTAGCCGGAGCCGACTGGTCGCACCCCTGTCTGAGCGGAGACCCCGCACCCGAGCCTCGATGGCAAGACCCGGGGAACGAGTTTAAGCTCAGTGACTCGATGGCGAGACACTGTGGCCGCCTCCCTCACACACCCCGGAAGAGGCCGTGTTATGAGTCCCGGATGAAAGGAAATGATCGGCTACTCGCACGCTATGAAGACTCGCTGCTGTTCACTGTCCCGTCCCCTTTTCCACTGGTCCAGCTCCTCTCCACACCAGTTAAGATATTTTCACTTGCTGTATTGTGCACCACCACCACACCACAGCCAGAGCACCACTTCCACCCACACAGCGAGCACTTCCCCGCCGAGCATCCAGAACGAACTACCCTCAACAACCGCGCGCTGACCCGAGGTCACCTCGCATGCGCCCCGAGGGCAGGAGCCCAAGCAGCCAATCACCGGGCTGCTTGCTATGGGGCCAGCTCAGTGCCGGCATAGCCCCAGGCGCCACGTGGTCGGCCGGCCGCCACATGGCCCGCTCGGTGGTCCGGGCGGCCCGGCCTGCAGCCGCCGGTGCTAACATCCCCCCGCACCGTGTTGCACTGCAGGGCAACACTCACGAAAGGTAACCGGCGTGCTGCCGTACACATCGCGTCGCTAACACATATAAACCATTTCACATTCCAACAAATACAATGCTATTTCTTGAAACACCAGCAAGTATAACATGAAACAGAAAAATAAAAACACTTCCACTTCGTTAAGCAAAGTTTAATGATGGGTATCAGTGGTATATCCCCACCGACGCACAAAGGCGACTGGCGACGTCGTCGCTGCTAGACGAATCGCTGCCGCCCAAGCAGAAACCGCCACATCCGAGGAAGCTACCGCCCGAGCTGATGTAGCCGAGGAGGTTGCCGCCGCCCGTGCTGAGGTGGCCGAGGAGGCCACCGCCGCCTGCGCCGAGGCCGCTGCAGCGCTCACGGAGACTAATGCCTCCCACGCTGGAGATGGAGAGACGCTGGAGAGCCTCCAGACTCAGAGGACCCTTGGTCCTCTAGCGCTTGATAGCGATGTGTCAGGATCGTGTAAACCCCGCTGGTTTATCTCACGGTTACGGAGATGCCTATGTTTTGTCTCTCCCAGCCCCTCGATGGCGAGGCCACTGGGAGCAGACGAAAGGGTCGATGGTTCGACCTCTCGTTGGCGAGTTGACCTGGGCGTCATTTGACTCCGACGCCAGCACGCGTTGCAGGTCAGCTCGTAAATCTCTGCAAGTCTGTTGGCCACGAAGGTCTTGAACCGTCGAGTTTCATTATCAAGGTACTGCTGGATGACCTTGCTGTCCGTCCAGCAGAAGATGTCATCCGGCGGCTGAGTGATCTCCCCGAGGACGGTAGCCACCAGACGCGCTCCAAGAACGGCTGCTTGCAGCTCCAGACGGACAACTGATAGTCGCTTCAGTGGAGCGACTCTGCACCTGCCGATCAGGAAGCGACAGTGGTGTAATCCATCGCTCGAAGTTGTCCTCCAGTATGCCACAGCGCCGAAAGCACTCTCTGACGCATCGCAGAACACATGAAGTTGGCGTCGCAGTGTCCCTGGGCCGCTGGGGTTCACGCAGCGTTGCATCACGACTTCGTTCAACTTCTCTGCTTCACTCAGCCACTCCAACCATTGGCTCAGCTCAGGTTCGGGTAGTGGCTCGTCCCACTCCAGATGTTTCCACCAGAGTCGCTGCATCATCATCTTTGCTCTCACGGTAACAGGAGCAGCAATCCCCAGAGGGTCAAAGATTGTTGACACTTTGCTGAGCACACCACGCTTGGTTGCACTCACTTCTTTGGCTTGGAGACGAAACCCCAATGTGTCCTCGTCTTCCTCCCATGCGATGCCCAGCGTCTTTTCCGCGGTGTGCGAGCTCCTGAGACATAGGCTCGCAAAGGCGCTGGCTCTCTCACTCTCTGGAACGCCTTTCAGCACAGCGGGGGAACTGCTTCTCCACTTCGTGAGGTGAAAACCTCCTCTCTCCAGTGCCTCCTTCACGTCAGCGTACAGCTGTTTGGCGGCGTCTTCCGTCATGCAAGAGAACAGGCAATCGTCCATGTAGAACGACTTTGCCAGTTGCTCGGGACTTCTGCTGAGAACCTTGTCTGTCTCCGCTCCATGGTCCAGAAGTGCTTTTCTCAGCACGTAGTTGGCCGTTGCCGGTGATGACTTCGCGCCAAAGATGACCACCTCCATCTGATAGACGTCAGGCTTGCGGTGTCGCTCCATATCTCGCCATAGAAAGCTCGATGCAGGCTGGTCTTCTGTCCTGATCCTCACCTGATGATACATCTGCTTGATGTCCGCTGTCACAGCGATCAGACCTTCCCTGAAGCGCATGATCACCCCAGGAAGGCTTTGTAGTAGATCTGGACCTGTGACGAGCTTCGAGTTCAGTGATACACCTTGGTATGTTGCCGCAGCGTCGAAGACGATTCTCAGCTTTCCTGGCTTGTTCGGGTTCACTACTGCGTGGTGTGGCAGATACCAACGCTTCTCCTTCGGTTCGTCCGCTTCTTCTGCTGAGAGCTTCCTTGCGTGACCATCCTTCACACATCCGTCGATGATGGCTTGGTACCTTGTAGCCAGTTCTGGCTGCTTGTCGAGTTTTCTCTCGATGGACTGAAGACGTCGGTACGCTTGGTTCCAGTTGTCCGGCAACATCGGTTCGTCTTCACCCCACAGAAGTCCAGCTTCATATCTGTCCCCCACCTTCCTGGTCTGCTGATCCAAGATTCGCATAGCTCTGAGATCTTCTTGAGATCGTGCATCAGAGCTGTTGATCATGGTGCCGAAGGCCTCGGTCGTCCACCAGTCTTGGACCAACTCTTGCAGACCCTCCAGAGCGTCTTCGGGAGCACGTTGACGCACGAACATGACTTGCCGCATTGTGCTTGGAATCAGGGTGGATATCGATCCCGTCAGGGTCCAGCCAAAGTCTGTCCGGATAGCGACGGGCATTCCGGGGCCTCCCACCCTGACCTCTCGCTGCAGCACAGCTTCCAGAATGTTGGCACCAAGTAGAAGCTCGACGTGTGCGCCGTTGTACTGCTGTAGGTCCAGGTCCTGCAAGTGCTTCCAGCTGCGAAGCTGCTTGCTACTCATGCTGGGTGGGGCCACGTTCAACCTTGGCACAGACCACACCTCGGGCACGACGATTCGATTTCTGCTGGTCGCTGTGCTCAGAGGACTAACCGTCAGCTGAACTCGAAGAGACGACTGTCTGGTACCGCTTCCTTCGATGTTCTGTAGCTGCAGATTCTCTCGGACTCCAGGGACCCCAACCTCTTCCAAGACATCTTCACAGCAGAGCGATGTCTGCGCTCCCGGGTCCAGCAGTGCTACTACGTCTCTCTCCCCGTTTGGGCCGTGAATCCGCACCGGCACCAACTGCAGCAGTGTGTCTGTCGTCTCTGTGAGAGCCGTGCCGACGATGCGACTTCCTTCTCGTGTCACTGTTTTTGGTTCTGTTTGGCTTTCTTCATTACAAGCGGCGCTTCTGTCCACATGTATGAGTCGGTGATGAGATGCATTACATCCATTCAAGTTGCATCGTCTTGCAGAGCGGCAATCCCTCATGAAGTGACCCTTGTTCAGGCAGCCCCAACACAGCCGTTCTTTGCTCACTACGACCAGCCTCTCCTCCACCGTCTTCGACTTGAACTCCGTGCAATCCTGAAGCTTGTGCTGTTCCTTGCACAGGACACAGAACCAGCGACGTCGGTTGTTTTCCGTCTGGGAAGACGTGGCCGACGTAGTCAGAGTTGTTCGTCGCGCCGAGGTCTCCCGTGCACTCGTGGATGGCCTTTTTCTTTCTGGATCGCGGTTATGGTTGGCCGAGTTTCTCAAGATGGCAGTCTCTGTCTCCAGCCACTTGCTGAAGATCTCCAGATCGGGCTGCTTGGGATGCATCTGATGCACTTCTCGTCCCCACTGGTAGGACAACTCCGCAGGAAGCTTCAATACCACTCGACGCAGATTCTCGATGGCTCTCAGATCATTGTAGTGGTTCAGAGCGCGCAGCGTCAGCACAGTGTTGCTGACAGCTGAACTGAACCTCTCCACTGAGGCGATGTTGTTGATTGAAGGAGCTGGGGTCGCAAACATGGAACTGAGATATGCTTGACTGATGTCGCCTTCTCGACCGAAACGCTCGTGCAGCCTTGCCAACGCCTGGTGATACATCTTGCCATCGAACAAGAATCCCTCGATGGCTTGATGGGCGACTCCATCTACTGCTTGCTGTAGATGCGCCATCCGCTCCGTGTCAGAGAGAGATGCCTGATCGTGAACCAGTGCTCTGAAGAGACTGATCCAGCGCGGCCACTCACTTGGTTCGCCTGTGAACCGCGGTAAATTAAGACGTGGAACACTGTTGGTAAAAGCTGACATCCCAGGAGGTGGATGCCCGTGCTTCTCCTGCCCTTTGCTGTTTGATGTCCAGTTGTCTGGGTTCAGAGATGAACCATCCACCTCCACTTCCGGAGCAGCTTTAGGTCCTTGTGGTCTTGGACCAGGCACATAGTCGGGTACGCTCGAGCGATGCGGTGGTTCGGCAGCTTGATCCACCCCCGCACCTTCAGCAGATGCCTTTCTTCCTTTGACAGCTGCTTCGTCGAAATCATGCCGACGATCCCAGTTCAATTCGTCTTCCGCAGCCTGATACATGTGCACCTTCCGAGCAGCTCTGTCGCGGGCCTCTTCAGCTATTCTGAGCTGTAGCACCCTGTCGCGTTCATCTAATTCCTGTCTCTCTTTCATGTTCCGACGACTCTCTTCCATTTGAGCTTGGAGGTCCCGCAGCTTGCGATCAGCGTCCTCCAGTTCCACAGCAGCCTCTCTGGATCGAACTGAAACTGCGGTGCCTGCTGACGTGTGTGACTTGGCACGACTTCGAGTGTGACGGGAAGTGGCAGCTGATGACTTGGCTTCATCCAACTCTTGAAGGTACAGCTGGATCTTCCCCCGAATAGCCGACTCTTCTTCTTCAAGATTATCAGCGTATCCCTGAGCTTCCTCCAGTTCTGCGTCATTGAGTTTGGTTTCATACTCCTGATGAACTTTTCTCAAATCAGAAAAAGCTTCTTTCAGCCTTCCGTTTACTTCCTGGATACAATCGCGGTTCCGATGTCTTGCTATCTCTGCCTCTAACACCTTGGACACCCTCGTCACGACAGCCCTCTTGATACCACGCAGTCGTCGCAGACCAGCAAGCTCTTGATCTCTAACATCCTTAAAAGCTCCATCTGCAGTGGGATCGGGCCGTTTGACATCCTTTGCCTCTTCTTTTTCTATCCCCATCTTCTCCTGTTCAGCTCACTGGGTCGCAATCCGGCCCGCGGAGGACCAGAAATGTCGCCACGTGTCCTCTGGTATTTCACACGCCAACGACACTTATTTAGCCGGATGATAGACAAGGACTGTAGGAGAGCGATGGGTAGATCAGGATGGTGAGGAAGACGCCAGCCGCTGCCCGATTCCAGCCTCTCGATGGCGAGACCACTGTAATCGGACAGATCAACCGATACTCCGGCGCCTCGATGGCAAGGTTAGCCGGAGCCGACTGGTCGCACCCCTGTCTGAGCGGAGACCCCGCACCCGAGCCTCGATGGCAAGACCCGGGGAACGAGTTTAAGCTCAGTGACTCGATGGCGAGACACTGTGGCCGCCTCCCTCACACACCCCGGAAGAGGCCGTGTTATGAGTCCCGGATGAAAGGAAATGATCGGCTACTCGCACGCTATGAAGACTCGCTGCTGTTCACTGTCCCGTCCCCTTTTCCACTGGTCCAGCTCCTCTCCACACCAGTTAAGATATTTTCACTTGCTGTATTGTGCACCACCACCACACCACAGCCAGAGCACCACTTCCACCCACACAGCGAGCACTTCCCCGCCGAGCATCCAGAACGAACTACCCTCAACAACCGCGCGCTGACCCGAGGTCACCTCGCATGCGCCCCGAGGGCAGGAGCCCAAGCAGCCAATCACCGGGCTGCTTGCTATGGGGCCAGCTCAGTGCCGGCATAGCCCCAGGCGCCACGTGGTCGGCCGGCCGCCACATGGCCCGCTCGGTGGTCCGGGCGGCCCGGCCTGCAGCCGCCGGTGCTAACAAGGTAGGAACACTGCAATTTCAAACCTTTTACAGAACTTGTGTGTATGGGGATAGTTTTCCAAAATCTTCGTTTTTCATAAATCAATAATAATCACTCAAAAAAAAAAACTGAAGGGGGCCCCAAACTTTCAGAGGGGCCCTTTGAGAAAACTTTGCACCCCCATCCAAAATTACCTTCCGCCGCCACTGGCCTGTTCAACAGACTGTTGGTAGTGTGTGATGGGACCTGTGACCAGATGATGCAATTTTGCAGACACAATGAAAGAGCCTGCTTACATATAGAAGAAGGTGTAACTGGGTCAAAACCTGCAATTGGAGCAAACTGTCTCCAATGTACAAGGTAAGGGTGAAAATCCCCTTCAGCATCCAGGGCTCTAAATTGAATATAAATCACACTAGGCAGGTATATTGGCACAAACAATACCAGGTGACCCAGAAAAAAAGGTATTCAAATTTAAGTTAATATTTCTGGAAAGGTGTTTGTAAGAATTCACAGCGTGCCTTTCCCAGATGTGCCACAGGCACGTGTCCACCCACTGGCCTTTATTTATCACTAGGCACTATCACACTTCCATCCACGCAGCGCGCAACCTCTAGAATCACCAGGCCGTCTCAGCCCCCCCCCCCCCACACACACACACCAAGGCCATCTCCCCCTCTCTCCCGTTCCCCTTTCCCTCTCGGCCCCAGCACGTACGGCCTCTGACACAGCACTCTGCCGCCCAATTCCCTGCCGACCGCCGACTGCCGCGCGCACCGTCTCCGACACGGCGCGCAGTAACACTCCCCCCTGACATCATAGTCATAAGTGAATGCATGGGTGGAACTTTTCCAGGGAAGTTGGTGGGGCAAGAAGTTGTCAAACCACAATGTCCGATTATAAAGTTGAATAAAATGCCACACTGAATCAATTCCTGTCATACGGATATTATATTTTGCATTAAACGAACATTCCATAGCTCTTCAATGCGAAAAAGATTAATTTGCAAAGCAACAAAGTCTTATAAATCAGCTTAAGTTGGTGGGGCAAAACGCTTTTTGGTGGGGCAAAATACCAAGTTGGTGGGGCGGCCGCCCTACCAACTGTATAGGAAGCTCCATCCCTGAGTGAATGTCGGCGGCTCATGCCCCTCACTGGGTCACATAATCGGCCAAATAGCCCGGCGGCCTGCGAGTCCTCTCCGGGCGCTCTGCACGCACTCCCGAGTCCCGGCTCTGCCACCGGCGGCGGGGGAGGCGCCTCCTCCGCCGGGAATCTGACCATGATTGGTCCGTCTCCGTCGCCGTCCGCGCCCGGGCTCGCGCCCCGCCCCGTCCCGTCTGCCCTGTCCGCCGGCGCAGGTCCCGCGTGTGGCGGGGCATGCTGTGATGTAGTATCCCCGAACGCTGAGTCTGGACATAGCTAACACACGGCACAACACGAGCGCACACGGACACGTCACGCCATGGTCGTCGCTCTTCGAAGCCGCCAGCTGAACCAGCTTCTCCCGCAGACCGGCTCGGCTTCCCAACACGCACCGATCGCACAGCTCGCGGTCCACCTCCGTGCCTGGGTAGCTGCACCGCACCACCTGTGCTCGCAGACGGCCTAGGAACTGCTCCAAGTCCTCCTCCGGCTCCATCTGCATCTGGTGGAACAGCGCCCTCTCCGCCACTGCATTCCGCACAGGCGACAGGTACGTTGTCAGCTTACTCTTCAGCTGTTCGAAGCTGTCATCTGTCCCGCTGTCCTCCGGCAGCGTCTCACTCAGGTCAGCGATGTCCGGTCCGACCAGGTGCAGCAGTATCGCGCACTTCCGGTCGGCCTCCACCACCCCGACTGCGCTGAGGTAGCGTTCCAGTCCTCGCAGCCACCGTTGTCCGCTTTATAACTCGGGCAAGCCCAGGCCAAAGCCGGCTGGGTCCCGATCGGTTATTTCCACCTGCCATGGGCGGGTGCAGCGTTCGTGTGCCATGGCCGGATGCAGGCAGGTATGCACAATGCACCACGCATTATCATAGTCATCCACTCGCCAACTGTCCTACAGACTTGTCCACTGTCATATTATGACGACCGGGTTCTAGCACGCCTCTCCAGTGAAACGGAAATAATCGCAACGGTATGTATTAAAAAATCACATCTGGGATGAGCAAGCTGCTCAGTACATCAGCTGAGTATCCGTCAGCAGGGAGCACCTGCCCCTCCGCAGGAGGTGCCAGGCCCAGTCCGGCCACCAGGACGTCCAGTTCTCGCTCCTCCGTATCAGCCTGCTGCTGCTGTGGCCGGAGTTTGCGGCAATTGGAGCGACATGAGAGCCCTCTAAGCCGACTAGTGATGTCAATTGTACAAAATCAGAATAGCGATACGAAACCAAATGCCAACCAAAACCGTGAGGAAGTGTCCTGCGCTGGTGAGTGCTCGCCGTAGCACGTCATGAAGGTTAGCGTGACGTGCGTGACGGACGTTGGTCTCTTGGCACAGGAGAGGCCGTGGTGTCCCAGTTGGTCAACAGGGCGATGACAGAGCTGATAACTTAATGTGGCTCACATACCGATCCCCCAAGACGCAGCGCCACCACTACCCGGACAGCCTCATTATCCAGGTGGAGCCGCAGACTGGTGACGGGGAGGGCTTGCGCCCAGGCGGCTGTGTGGGGCTCTGCGGCAGCAAGGAGACGTGCCCGGACCACCTGGTTTGCCCCGTCCAGCAGACGCTTCTGAGACATCTTGGAGAATGCTTCATACCAAGCGCGCTGTTTTCTCTCTTCTGATGGGGGCATTAGATGAGCGGCCTCGCCAAGCTTCGCGACGGCATCGGCCTTGACTCGCTGGAGTGCTCGAGTCGGCTGGCGAGGCTCGGTGGCGTGGAGGATCTCCTGCGCCAGTGGCAAGCAGGCGTGGAGTGATGCCATGACTGAATGGACTCCAAGTCCTCCGAAACGCAGCGGTAGGGACGCCTGTTCCCACGCTCCGTCGTCGATGGTGACGTTGGTGTCGGCGGCGAGCGTGACCCGTACTGTCTTGTCTACAGTCAGCAGCGGTCCCGGCTCGCGGTACAGCGGCACCGACCGCAGTGCCGCGAAACACGTTTTTATATTTTAGGCAGCCTACTTGAAGCCTACATCGAGCCCACTTGACAATGGAGTTAATAAACTATTTGTATCTAAGTCAAGCTTGTGCTAGACTTAACATCCACCTAAATGACTATGTAACTTATGTATGAATGTGGCAAAGAAAATAAAAATGACTCCATATAGGTCCCACGTGAAGTCCGTATAAGTACCCACATACATCCAGCCCACATGCCCACTTAAGCCCGCACATCCCGAATGTAGCCAACATGGGTCCCATATGGGTGTGCTGGCTAGGAAAGAGCGCGGACAGACACACAGGGAATGAGGTGTTTGTCATCTGAACCGCCTTGCGGATTATGCTGTCTTGGTCCGACGCCCGAGATAGGGTCGGCCAGTCGATCGGCTGCAGTCGACACCGGGCACATAGTTATGGACATCATCTTGGTGCAAAACACAAAACAGTGAGACGGAACAAACAAGCAAACTCAAACAGCACTTCAAAATGACGATGGGTGTTGGGTAGTGAGTACACACACACACAAACATCAGCACGTTTCAGCAGCATACACGCGCCGCGCCGCGCTGTCCGACAGTGCCATATGACTGAGGTCTAAACCAAACCACTGCGTGGGTTCCTAACATGCCGGCAAAAAAAAAGAACACGGGCTACCAGCAACCAACAGAGAGCAAGGGTCCATACAACCTAGTTACAAACACAGCAACCTCGTCCACTGCCGATGGTGCCAAGTGATGGGGTTCACCTCAGGCTTAGACTTGAGCGCCCCGTCGATCTCCTTGAGCGCCGCGAGGAGGAGGCGAACGATGAGGCCGGAGCCGCGGCCGGGCCAACGGGCGACGAAGACGTGGCCACAGGCCAAGTGCCGACAGGATAGCGCCGCCGCTGGCCAGCCGAAGTTGGGGATCGAGGTGGCGCTCGGCCCTAGTCGTGGCTGGCAGCGCACCAAAGGGGAGAGGGGAGTTGTAAAAAAAGGGAGTGATGTGACTGTGGGCGGGCAGATGGTGGTAACAGCTGCCCCAGTCAGCATTTTTACCAAAGCCCCACATGGGGCCAAGGTGGGTCCACTTTATTTTTCCCTGGTGGGGCCCACATGGGCTCAAGGTGGGTATACCATGTGGGCCATGGTGGGCCGTGGGGCCCACGTGGTCCAGCAGATGTGGGTCCTGGGTGGGCCCCATGCTGGCTCACTCCTCCCTAGCACCGTTCGCATAAATTAAGTTGAGCCCTATTCACCAAAGCTCATTTTAGCTCCCACCAGAACCTACAAGGAATTATAATGTACAGTCACCAGCACTTGCTACCCATCACCCCCGGACGGCGGGGGAGCAAGCTACCACCGCCCTTGCGAGACTAGCGCCGCCATGCGCCAAGAAGTGGAAACACCACGTGACTGAGGCCACGTGAGGGCAGGGTCACGTGATGGAGGGGCGGAGCATAGCAGCTTTTGCGCCCGACACTAACTGAAATGCGGCGCCGTGATTGGGCGCCTTAGCATGAATGAAGCCCCGGCGCCAGAATTTGTTTGTTTGTTTTGTTGGGTTAGGCCCTTTCGGTCGACAAGACCATTGCAGAGCCGGAAGGATGATAGGAATTAGGGGGAGACATTGGTCTGGGCAGGCACCCTAGAGAGTCGCCGGGGCTGAGCCCGTCCATAGGACAAGCCGACCAGCCCCCCAAGCACTCTCTGCACCCGGCTACGGGGTGCAGCTCTCTCGGGAGCAGCGGTGCCGCTCCAAGGGAGCAGCCCGCATGAGATAAAGTTGCCTGTCCAGCCCGGAAGGGGTTGTGGCGTGGAGGAGAAGGATTTCAGTATCCTGAGGATAGAAGCACGGATAGGTGCCGGCGCCAGAATCAGCCGTTCGCCTTATATGGAAGGTTAGCCTGTGCGCTTCACCGTTCTGTGTTGGTTTGAGAGCCACGGCACCATACGAATTGTGAGCCCCTTTGAACGGGTCACCGCCCGAGGCACTGAGGCGACGGCTGTGCGGGCTGTGCCGGGCAAAACCTAGCCTGGTGGGAGAGGTGGGCCAGGGAAAGTGCGATCGAGCAGCCACACTGGGACGTGGATTGGTATTATCTAACCGCGACAAACGATGTCAGCAGCCTCTTCTCGTTGACATAAAAGGTTTGACAGACAACGTGGGCAGTGCCCAATCAAAAGCTACTAAACGATTCAGCTAAGAATTTGGCGAGATAACCAGACCCAATAAAAAGTTTTTATTTCGATTTTGATTGACAAATGACACACAAGCCCGCTGTGATGGACAA